TTGCCGAAACAGTGTCCGCTCGATATCTCGAGTAATTATTAACGGATTAACTTCAAACTTCACAACAAGGTTAATTACCATGAAACCACGGACAAGTTCGATAACCGCTATTATCCGACCATAATTACTGGAGTTATTACCCTTGGTTTCATTAATGCGATGCATGCGTTCCATGATGTTGTATTGCACTCATTGATCTACCAGTTATGTTGAATGATTTCTCTTTTAATATCAATTACTCACAAATACTTTATATATTTCAATCATACAAACAACTGCTCATTCAATGTGTGACGGGCGTATTATATACCGCTCGCGGTAACCTTGTCTGTTAGGTGAAGATTTTAGTGTGGCTTTCAAACGTCCTATTAAGACTATGACATTTTATGAAAATACCCAATGACGTTTTCTCAAGACGTCGGGTTAACTTCTTATTATTTCATTAAAAACCCATTTGCATTACACGTAAAGATAATGTTACCCTATTATGGATATTAGAAATGTGTTGTGTATCCGTTTGCGGTGTTCTTATTCGTGCGTACAATTTTAACCTGTGATGTACAATATAGATAAGTCGAGCGCTCGAGAAAATAAGTCCAGCTCTCCAGATAATGAATGTAGAACATAATATTGCAGATGTCCTAAATGTAAAATCGATATTCAAATTGTGTTTTATCTTTAAGCGGCTTAACTCAACAGTATGTTCCTCAATTCAGCATTAAAAATAAGCAACAATGTTTTGAAGCTGATGGTATTGGATCGATCTTAACTATTGTTGTACGAAATACTTGAAGAAAGGGGACATGAAGTGTAGAATATTGATTTAGTAAATAATTTACAATGAGGTTGATCAGAGTAGGGATAAAGTACAAATAGGTCAAAAGTGACATTAACCAACAATATCAACCCAGTAGTCAAGATTGTTAACTATCTGCAAGAGTACATGTTGTTTCACTGATACAGGGCTTGCACATCAAAGAGATCGTGAACCACTGCAAGGCATTCATGTAGACAAAGTGTTCACTTCTTCTAGGGGTGCAAATGGACGAAGCAAAGATAAACCTGAGTGACGCTTAAAGTAATGACAATAACAAATAGCTCAATGTGAAGGATAATTGAGGAAATTCGATAAAGTTATTGTGTCATCTAATACAGCAGGATCTGTATAGGCCAGATAACCACAGGACAACACGTATTTGCTAAAAACAGACACGTTTTGGGATTTTACAGACTAAAGTTTCTCAATACTTCCTACGATTTCATTTGACGAATGAGTCATTGTATAAAGATTTTGCAAAAAATCAAGAAATTAACATAATAACGAAAAGGATTTTCTATATAACATGGAATTCTACAGGTTCCTGGCTATGACGCTAGCCTTGGCGGCATTTGTTGGCGGCATTTCTAGAGAAATAAAAATCACTCACGGTTGGTTTTTAAATGACAACATCTATTGTCGATTCACTGTACCCACGATTTACCAGTGCGTAGAAGTTTGTTCCGCGAGCACTCTTTGCACTTCAATCAATTTTAGACGAGATACCAAGGAATGTTTTCTCAATCGGGATGAGCCGTTAAAACCGCTGTTCAAGAACAACAAATATTCGCACATTTATCTTCGAGACGCTCCAGAGGTAAGTAGGTCAACTCAATTCCTTAAAATATTTTTTAGGGAAAAGGTACCTTCAGACTCTCAACAAAGTTATATTTATTTCATTTTCTAGGAAGCTATTTTTGCCCTGTGTTAGAATACATTTTTTTCCAAAAATTCAAATGAAATACTAAAACTATTTATTTCCCAGTTCGGATCACATTATAGATTTTAGACATGCGTAAAACGACATTCATTTTTGTGAAAAATGGATATATCATTCCATATTGAGTACATTCATAATATCTACATCACACAAATACTCCTATTGATATTCAGTTAGCTGTGTTGTAGCGAAAGATAACTTAGATTTAAAGAGGAAATGTATGGGTACAAACAGGGAACGCAACACATTTGGAAAGAAAATTCTCCGTATTTGTAAGAGTCCAAGTTATAGCCATTATATGCTTTGGGTTATACAAGAATGTAAATTATTCGACTTCTGATTGTTTATCGAAGCAAATGTTATAATTACGATATGCCATTCATGAATTCTTCTTTTATAAATAGATCCCAGATGGCAATTATTGCAATGTGCAATAGTTTGACCATATGAGCAGAGCAATACAAAGGATGAGTATTACATAAAGCTGTTTTACAGATATAGACCAGATAAAGCAACGCAGAGTTCTATTAGTTCATGCAGTTTTGTCAAGCATTTATTGATACATTTATGTGTGTCATTCCTTTTCTAGACTCTTACATTATCTGCTGATGTCAGATGTCCCTCTCAAACTTGGTCCATACCAGGAAATGGAAACGGAACCTGTATACCAGGTATGCCTTTTTATTATGCCTTTATAATGTTTCTCATGGTTGAAAATATCGACGGAATATCTTATTCATATCTGATATACATTTATGGATGGAGAATTATGTATCCTCCCTACAATGCTATTTTTTGTCAGTGTGGGTTCACATTTCTTATCTTCCTTTTTCGTGAAACGGGTTTCACAAGTTTTGATAATTAGAAAATTGAATATAATCTCTTTTGTGACTGTTTTGTTCGCCTCAATTTGAATGAAATATTATGTAGGAAATATCTTTTAAAATATGACGTCACATTATTTATATTTTTCGGTAAAATATGACGTCAGTGCATTGAACCAATCGAAACGCCTTTGAGTCAACCATGAACATATTGTACGCACATTTATGATTGTCTAATAATTGCCTGATGATGCTTCGTAGACATATTAGTTTGCCTACAACGGTCAACCACAACCTGAATTCCATTTCAGAATAGTTATTGCCTAGGCGTTGCAACCAAAAGTAATTTGGCAACAGGCAAAGCCTATTTAACTGTCATCTCCTTAATTTGCTCTTCCTTCATTCCTTGTAATCCTATCAACTTGTTCCTTAAAGAGTAACTGTAGTGCTACAATATTTTTTAGGTAAAGAAAGATTAATTAATAAAACCCTCAAAATAATCACATTTTTTTTTTTTTTGCAAAGATAACGAAGTTGTCCTTTTTACTAAATTTCACACCTGAGCGCAAATCGGAAAATCTCCGATTTTGACCTACGACCGGAAGTGACGTAGCAGCGGTGACCCAAACTCAGGTAAGCTCGGGTAGTCATTACGAAACACTATCAAAACATCTTCGTCATGTCCGTGATTTACAAAGAAAACACACCGGTATCTCGCTGTGGTCGACGTTGTGTTGCCGGAGGATGCTCCAATACTGCTATCAATGGAGTTTCCATGCATACTTTTCCTGCAAAGAGACCTGATATTCACCGACAATGGGTTGCTTTTGTGAGAAGAAAACGCAAAGATTGGGAGCCGACTCGTCACACAGTGTTGTGTAGTGCCCACTTCGAGGAAGATTGTTTTCCACTAAAATTCCGGTTAGGACTGTTGGAATCAAGTGGGAAGACTGTGAAGAGGACACTAGAAGAAGATGCCGTCCCTACTATTTTCAATAGTGCAACGACACCGACCATGCCGACACCGACCATGCAGACATTTCATGGGAAACGTTCCTCAAGCCCAGAGACTGAGTTGACAACACCGAAGACTGTGAAAAGGCCTAGGTCGGCATTCGTTAAAAGGGACATGCAACGTGTGAGTGTTTATATGTGTTTCCTATATAAATATATTATCTGTAATCTGATGACCAATGATTTCTACACGTGTAACCTGTTTCGACGGAAATCCTATTTCGATTTTTTTTTAAAACTAATGTGACACTGTTCAGGGCCTTGTGTGAATGTGTAAAGGTAATAGCTTTAAATCTCAATATCTTAGTAATATGTCAATCTTAACAAGTTATAAAACAGAAATTTCCTAAATGAATTGCATTGCAAAATATTGATATTAAGGGGAAATCTCTATATCATGCTTATTTACAAATTGCAGTTGATCAGAGCAATGAAGTCAAGAGCTCATGCCACATGGAGAAAGAGGGACTCATCAGGGCTGTCCAGCAGGTTAAAGATGAAGACATTCAGATTAAGACAATTGTTACCGACAGACATGTCCAAATAAAGAAGTGGGTCAGGGAAAACATGACGGACACCCAGCACTGTTTTGACGTCTGGCATGTTGCAAAAGGTAATTAAAAGTTAAACTCAAGTTTGAGAAGTATCGTTGCAATTAAAAACACTGTACCACATTCACATGCTTTGTTGTGTTGGCAACAAAGGTTAACGAAAAGCTGGGATTGATCTTGTCCTCCACATACTTAAAGGGAGACATCCCAATGCTCTCGAGCGGTCAGCAGACCTCGCATCTTGAGGCCTATCACTCTGTAATCAATCATTTCGCACCAAAAATGATTGGCTTCTCTTACCATGGAATGCAGAGTCGGTATGTTCCACGTTATAATGCCTCATCAATTTATGCTCCTAGTCTATAGATATATAGAAACAGTATATACTAGTCATATCATATCAAAATTATTTGAGGTGTAATTCAACATTTTACAAAAATACCTTGTCATACTCTCAAGAAGGAAATCAGTTCAACTTGACCTAGAGATGCAGTGTTTATATGCTCTCTATCGATAGGCGAAATCCACTGAGTCGGGATAAAAAAATATATGATTTCGTCACATCGTTATACAGATAAACTCATACAAATCGCTCACTCTCCTATAGTGTAAAGGGACAGTNCTTGAAGTGTTGAGACAGCACATTTGATACATTGTGTAGAAAGTTATTTTTCTTTTTTACTATTTCAACTATGTTTGATGACACTGTCGGTAAGATATTCGTTGTCAAGTGTAGTTTTTTTCCCTTCTGCAGATTGTTGCTGGCTGCACTGCACTTCAATGAGAATGTGTCGAGAGAACAGGCGTCTCTTCCAAATGGTGAAAAGAGATACAGAATCACATTCCCCAAACAGGAGAATGGTGACTACACAGTTCGACAAGTGAGAACAGAGTGCACCTTCAGTAAGTTATATGATTATTCAATTCCATTCGTAATTTTACTTTAGAAAATAATTCAATGGTTTCAAACTGCCAATTACAGATATATTTTTTTTGCTTGCATGTGAAGTTGATGGTGTGTTGGTTATTTTTTTATTTGCTGCTTTGAGAACGAGTGTTTTATATATATGTTTTTATGTGGCAACTTCAAATTTCTGTGTTCCCATATTTTCAATAATTTATCATCTTGTGCATTTTGATAGCACTTTATGCATATTAAAACTAGTAAAAGAGCAACATTTAAAAGGTCTAATAACTCTTTCTTGTCATGTTACAGATTATGTGGAAGATTTGATGAAGGCAACCAAGCAACGGGTGAAACTTTTACAGATTCAAAATTGCGAGGTTGTTGGAGAATCGCCACCACCACTCTGTATGAACTTTGTTCACCCAGAGAAGTCTGAAGCTGTTTCTGGACTGATGTCCAGGTTTAGGCAGTAGCCTACAGTTGAGACTTTAGAATTATGCATGGAGATATGGAGACTACACATGTTGGACTATTCAAAGTGCTGGGCCCAGTTGTTTAAATTGAAGATACTTTTTATCAGTTAGGGAAATCTATTACCTGAATACAACAAAATCAAGAACACCAGAGATCTTTTTAATCATTTTACTTGATTTTTTGAGAAAAAACAAATGATGTGTTTTGAGGATTAGTTATAACAACCACTAATATCTCTAATAACATTTGAGCAACCGGGGCCTGGTCTTTTGCATTTTAATAATTGTGATATGTTTGAAAATAATTAAGTATGTTGGTTATATATGATATTTAATGTAGTAATGGGAACAAAATATCTACATAAACATCAAACTGACATACAAAAACAGGAGCTAATTTAATCATAAATAAGCATACAAATAAGGAAGTGTTCTGTTGTTTTCTCATTCAAATTTAAAGCCATTGTACTGTCTGTCCGGTGCAGGGAAAGCATTCCTGATACATGTAACAGCACATGCTGGGAGTCGTACACGAACATGTCGACCAAGCCAACCCAAGCACCATCTCACAAATTGACGATAGGCAATATATCGATTTCTCATGGAAAAAAAATCATTATCTTGCATAGAAAAGATAGCATATATGTTATCTTCCAACTCTTCATTTTCAAAACAGACTGGTAAGAACTACTTTAAATAAAGTGGATAGACTCTTGCAAAATTGCTGAAAATTTCATATATTCTTGGGGTTTATTCATCTTTCACAATGCAGTGTTTTGTTATTTTATGTATACATTCAGTTAGATTGTGAAACATTGAAAAACAAATTAAATAATAATGATTAATTAAAATGTATGTTTACTTACTTGTTTTCATCGTCTGTCAATTGACCATGGTACTGACGAAATGTCAGGTATGCTGTCTGCAGAACATAAATGTTCAAACAGACAGCATCAAGTCCAGGATGGAGAGTGATGCATGATAGGTCACCCGGAATGGCATCCATCATGACCTGGTCGACTTCTTTGCAACAAATACTTTCCACTTCGGTAGACATTGCAGGACAGTGTCCGCATCTACACCTGAAAATTGAAGGAGATGTAATAAGTTTTCTTTGAACTTGAAGACATATACTTTCTTATCAAGGTACTTTACACTGCCATTTGAGCGATAGCTGTAAGGACCTAGAAGTCCGGTATCCGTCCATAGTTTCTAGTTGTATTGCGCCAAATCTACATTTTTGTGTAATGTGACAACTGAATTTTCTATACACGTTACTTAGCGAAGAAATGCTGGTAGGCTAATCTTTCTTATAGTCAAAAAATGGGCTAATAATCAACCTAATTTGTGTCAAAATAAACTTACCAATCGTTGCTTCCAAGTCGTATGGCTTGGATCTCGGGCTCGTGGTCGGCCACTGAAGTTTCCTCGGTTGGGTCGTCATCCGTCTCTGGTTCGAACATGTAAGGCTGTGTTACTCCGTCGTAGGTTGTCCCGTCCATCTCAAGGTTAGATGAGCCGTCAGACATGTATAAATCAACAGATTCTTCGTCGCTTTCTGAGGTCGATACGTAGGTAACGTTATTCGCCATGATGCCGGTTTTTCTTGTGTTCCCGTTGTGACGTCACCGATACGTGTGCACAACTCACAACTTTTAGCGGCGCGCGGTACGCTTGATGAGCATATGGAAACGCAGGTAAAAAGCTCAACTTCTACCTGTCGTAACTTGGTAACCGGTCCACCGATTTCGATGCGGTTTTCGGCAACATCATTATAAAAACACAAGGAATGTTTTATTATCGGTAACTATTTGCACTACAGTTACTCTTTAATCCTCCGAAAGGAAAGAAAAACCATGATGATGTCAATGCAGTTAAATGTTACATACCGTTAGGTCTCTTCGGAAGTGTAACTGTAATCCTCAGTCCACCGCTATGGTACATTTCCCTCATTCAAGAAGCTATCGAATAACACGTTTACACTTACTGAATCATTCTCCTTCATCAGTTTTGCCTTTTATTTTATTTCATCATTTGCTATGTTTGTTTACATGATCTTAAATGATTGTTCATTCCTGTTATACCTCTTTATTCAAGATAATTCCTTTCCAGTCCTTGGTGTTCAAACTAACTCCATGTAACGTTCAACACACCTACCCGAAAATGGTATCCATGATCCCCCCCAGTCCCCTATGTGTGACGTAGACTCTGTAACCTCTGTCTGGTCTCCCATGTGCTTCTGTTTGCATTTTTTGAACGTGTGTGCTATTGTTGATTCAGTCTTTTCTTCTTTTATTAACAAGAATCCAAGTTCTGTTGTATATTCATTCCTCTCTGCTGTTGACATATGTCTGTGCTGCAATGAAGCAACCCAGATGTTTTCTTACTGTTCGTCTACGATCTCCAAAATCATCTAATGTACTGGACCAGTCTCTCAGCTCTTACTTGATATTTCTGTTCATTTTCTGTCCTTCGTGTTTTTAATGTCAAATACCTTTCGATGTCACTTTACTTTGTCAGGCTGAATTTTATCCTTATCCTTCCAACTACTAAGTATTGTTCACTGCTCGTATCACCACTCTTCTCAAGTTAAAGCCATTCAGTGTTGATCTCGATTTTGTAGTTATCATCATAACCACGGATAATAATTTGTGAACCGCTTTGCGATGACCTACGAACTAGGTTGCAATTTGTGATAAAGCGGTATATAAGAACCTCCAATTATTATTATCAATTATCATGTGGTTGTCTAGTTTTCTTTCTGCAATATAAAAGTACACATACCAAAAGAAAAAGAAAAACAGGTTTCATTGTTTAATTCTTCCGTTGTTTGTACAAGTAAAAGTGTCTTTTACTTTAAATCTAAGAATGCCTTATGGTATATATACTAATATATTAAAGCGTTCTATGTCTTCGAACATTATATTATGGTTTTATCTGGTTTCATTGCAGAGGGAGACACGTGTCTTGATATTAACATATATTGTCCTAAGTGGCGGGACATAGGTCAATGTGTGAAAACGGGTTCATTTAGCTTTACCAAGTACCACTGTCGACAATCCTGCAACACCTGCCATCTTCCATCGCCGTTCAACTAGACAATGTGACATTGGTATTGGCATGCTGGGTTTTTTCTCAGCAAGTATTTTGGCGATAGGGGCACGAATATAAACATGAGTACACACTGACATTAAAAATACCCATGTCAACAATGTATAACAGTGAGTTTTGACGTTCGCAGCATATATGTTTCATCTAATTTATTATCAATCTGGTTTTAAGAGATTTTTTTTCCAGAAGAATATACTACAGACACTTTACGTCAAATGTGGCAAAAGTCCGCAATAAAAAAAAAATCCCCGGATTCACAGTTAAGTTTAGTTACAAATTCAAATTTTTATTTTTCTTGAAAAATGTTACAATGTGATATAGAATAAATAAAAGTTTGTTAACTTATCTGCCATACTGAGTGTTTTCTACTTTATCAACACTGGTGTACGATTCATCACGAGTAAAACAATGATGAACTAATATCATCTATCGGTATATATCAGACTTGTTAAGAATGGTGTCTATCCTCTATACATTCATTTAAAGTTCACGACTTACAGCTTGCATAGCACAATTGCAGGTTTTGCACATATATATCTCTTAACATTAGTTTATAGTTTTCATTTGTTTGCATCATTTGCTAACTTTGTTTAATATCAACTGCACGGAATTATCATCGGGGATATTAATATGTTAATGCAACTTTAACAGCATATAAACGTTTATATTTCAAACATGTACGAGAGCCATCAATTGTAAAACATTGTTTGAATGTATTAATACTTCTTTTATTTCGCCATGCCATTAACATTAAAAGATAAATATGTGAACAACATCTAACTCTCATATCTCCGGCCAGTTTTTATGTCCATGTCAAATTATAGTTGACTTGAGCTCTCAGACATATTGCAAATATAAAGATTTACCTGTTTCTATCAGGAAGCGCTGGATTCTAAAAACATCGAATTAACTCAATAAACTTTACTTATTTACACTGTCATGGCTCGCCTCATATCAACAGATTACACAAAATGTACATAGAGTGACAGTTTCCTGTATCTATTTCTTTGTATATACATTTATTGGAGATAAGCGAGGTAACTCTAAAACTATATATAGGTATAAATGATCTCTTAACGATTTAAAATCAAAATAGTAACACGATCAAACTTATATCTGGATTTAAACCATGATTAAAACAGTGGTGAGCTTGAAGGTTGCACACAACACAACACTTTATATTGTCAATACCATCCATCTTGTTCAATATGAAATATTTTTACCTGTAGTGTCAAGCTAATCATGTTTTGCACTACTGGAGTCTGGTTATGGTCGTGAAGGTACCACACACCATAATGCTGATTTAAACCTGTAGTAGCAAACTGAGATAATTGACTCTACAACTAGTATCTACACCCAGCTGACGTGTATGGTGAAATTAGTCAAAGGCACACTACAATGAACGGAAAATTGAAAACCGCTCACAAGTTATCGAAGTGAATTTCTGATTTCGTCTTCCTCGTCTATAGGTAAAATTGTTGTCATTAAAACAGTACCCAATTCTATACCTCAAAAGATGATATCAGTAGCTCGGAGACCTGTCCTAGAATATTTGATCGGAACTTTTAAACTGCGACAAAACTCCGAAATATGACTTAAACATTTAAAGCATTTTCTTTCTGATATCGAAGAATCTAAAACGTAAAATGGTGTTTTTTAAAGAAAAATATGCAACATAAGTCATTGATAAAAACGTATTGTAATAGTGCTGAATATTTATTCCCATACATAACAATTCATATTCATTTAGGCGATACTGTGCGTCTATAATTCTGAGAAGACTGAAAGGGCACCAAAGCAAAAATGCATAAGATTTTTCACAAAGATAAGGTATTGAAGAAGGTGCGATGCTTTGACATAAAATATTTAGCAAGTATTTGCTGTCAGGCTCATGATATCAACATCAGAATTAGTTACTTACATGCTAACACATGCTACATGTAAAATAAGATTATCAGCTCATAGTCTGTATACACTTTGAGACATGTCGATACAAAAATAAGGATAGAGCTGAACGGCTATGCAAAATCTGTCGATCGCAACACAATATTGAAGTTGAGTACCATTTTATTTGTGTATGTCCTATTAACCAAGAAATGAGAAAGAGATTTAGAAAAATCAATTATAGGAAAAACTGTCGGTATTTAATCTAGTAAAGTGTACTGATGTCCATTCTCCACTGCACTATGTGTAGTGTCCCGCACATCATGTTATTATTTTGTAATACTTGTATTTGTATGTTATACAGATGTATAGCTGTAAAGCTCGATGTAATTAAAGAATTTGAACACAATATGTTGAGTGATACACAACCGCCGGAAACAATAACCATACTGTTGAAATACTGCATATTACATAGTCCGTACGTGTATGACCTATGTGCTTGAGTTATACACATGCTAAATTCACAAGGCGTGTTAATGTAATGTATAGACATCAGCTCATCCCATGTTAAACCGCCACTACTGTATTCAACTCACCCAAAATGTAAAAAGAATTCACTCAATTCTGTAAACATAATGTCACAGACATCAACACGATTCGTGTTTGACCGCTACCAATGTCTGCAGACCATTGCCAGTACATCATGAAAGTGTAATTGTCACTTTGATCTGTAAAAGTAATGCCACTAATATAATCACGGCTCTGCGCATGCTTGATTTCATTCCGGTGGTCTTAATATTACACATCAACTCATTAGGGCACTCTTAGTCTCTAACGTTGGCTATATCCGACATGTAGTTTGGGAAAACACGACACATTTCTCCTGGAAAAAGGTACATTCAACTATACAACAATCACTCTGTCGTAGAAAAACAAATACGAAAATATCTGTAGAAGAAATTATGTGTATACCAAAAGTACATGCTTGGGATGTCCATAAAGCATCGCTTACCTTCTTGAAAATCAGATTGGAAATATATAATGTAAGCTTATACCACGGATTCCGTGCTTATACAGACACCATTTCAAATAAATCATCACGCTGAAATGGCAAGTACAATCATCACCTGTCGTCCTTCAAAATGTATTGTTTAATTATATCTCGTTATCAAAATACAGTTTTGTGAATAATTAAAATACGTGTCACATTAACTAACCTTTGTTTATAAGTATAGATCTTCAAACCGAAAAGGTCAAATACATTAAATGGACTTTTCTCATTTACATACATGTAATATCATATGTTCCAGTTGACTGCTTATGTTAATTTAGTGTGAGATATTTTCCTGGTTTGCCGAGCGTCGTGTAAGGACAGAGGATACGACTTCACGGAGTAACGCCGAGTGTTCAAGGTAAGTTTTTAAAAACTTTAAATTACAATTAATAGTATTTTCGATATGACATCCATGATATTATGTTGCTTTATCAATTCACGCAAACGTATGTTTTTATTGTTCAATATGGCATAATCGTCTCGTGGTAAGTCGAGATAATGCATATCTAATGGTTTCATTACAGTTGCTTTAATAAAGACAATATTGTTTTTGCTACAAAAACATATATAAACTGAACATATAATACTGCTATTAAAAAACAATTGATTCCGTGTAATTTGTATACCAGTTATATGTTTTTATCCAAAGGTATGCGATATTTCAGCTTTCGTAGGAATTTTTATAAATGGACCTACTTGAATACATATCGAAAATCAGTTCATCAATTCGTTTGTGTCTATATCATTTTTCATTTTTGCTGTTACTTTTATCCTGGGATATTTGCGTATATTGAATTTCGGTTTCCTGTTGTTATGTACCTTTCATTCATGGATCTGTGTCTACTATTTGGGCAAATTTTGTACCAATAAATGTCCGTGGATTTGTGTGTAACAGAATTTCAATTTCCATAATAAGTTTTATTAAACGAAATGTGAATAGCACTAACCCTACAATGTTTAATTAAATTACTGAAACTCATAATACTATCACTAACGAAAGGATATTGCATATAATATGTGTAGACTGCTAAAATATTCAAATCAAACATATGGCTATACTCACAGACACTGGTGAAGTTTATTTGCTTGAGTGTGATTTTACGTCTTAACAAAACCAATTGTATTACCAAGGTAAATCGGAAACCAACATGCACTACAATATTATATAATAAATATGTAATTATATATCTACTATACCACAATACATTTATACAGACTCAGATTATGCCGTGTTACGAATCTTTTAATTAATTTCCAGTTGATCGTCAAGGTAGAGCTATGTTCTGTGACAAATGATTTATTATATATGATAATTATTAACAGTTGACATGATGGTGATGTATATTAAATGACGAATCTTTTCCTGCAAGCACACTCGCTGTCTAGTTAACGCTAGCTTCTTACCTTGTCCTTAAGTGCTAATATATATATATGGTTATTAAGGCGTCATGATACCTTTCTGTGACATTCGCCTCCTTTTCGAAAGAGTTGCGCATTAATAATCTGTAAAAAATGTCTTATAAATAATAATCCTTACTCGGTACATTTATAGGTGATACATTAGAAGTACATCAGGTTGTAGTATTGATAACACTTAGCTTATCATAAATGATTAGATTATGTAAATTAAAATGACAGGAGCGACAACTGTGATAACAATAGATATACCGTGACGGGTACATGTAAGTATAACGTCGTTATATACGTCCATATACGAGATGATTAATTTCGATAGCCTCATTCTTACTATTTCCCTACAATAATGAATATGCAGTTTTAATGTAGTTTTTTTTCTTTTCTTTTTAACTCTTTTTATTTTTTTGTTTCTTTGATTACACAACTTTGTAGTTTTAGCGGATATCAGTATATATTAAATATATGCAGAAAACCTTAAAATCCCTTGACACTAAAAGAAATGACAAAATTAACAAAAGAGAAATTACTAAGTATATCGAAATTTGGAAGTAGCACAGCGCGAAAATAATACCACCTAAACACAGGAAGTGTTTTATAAAAGAGTCAATGGTCAAACGTTCGGCCCCTAGCTCTAGAATTGGATTACCGCCATAATTATATCTAATTAAGTAAGATACTTCTGCTTTGGAATCTTATTCTATGTAAGTGACTTTACAAAAGTTAGTTGTTGCGGTGATCCCCTTCCATACCTAGCACCAGCGACGAGTCATTGTCTTTGCTGGCTCTACGTTCACCTGTGCGTGTGTTACGTTCATCCTGCCTATAAGGAGTTAACAGTTGTATGGTGGAGTGGAATTCGTCTTTAGCATGCTGTATCTATTACCAAATTTTGTGCCTTGGAAGCTTATGAATAATATATAATAATATTGCACATAAACCATTCATATGCAGGCTTTGCCTATTTTGAAAGAATATTGTATTAGCTTAACTAGACATGAATTTGAAATTTTATTGCATTTATATGTGCGCCTTTCGACTAAATAAGGTAATACTTTGTTTAAGAGTTCTATATTTTTTAACTAATTGCTTTGTTCTCTAATGTTATTTTTTATCAGACATTGAGTCGGTATATCTGATCAGCAAGACATTGATGTATTATTATTCAAGATAATAATTAAAACAATTGTCTAAAACGTCTGATAAAAACGATAATGACATATTGTGATTTGAAATAATATATCATCCATATTAAGGGGGCGCCAAGGGGATTGTGAATATCAGGTAAATAATTAAACGAATATTCTGCTATTATCTATAACAAATTTCATGCATTTCACTGCTGGTATATCAAAAAAGCAATGTAGAGTTAACTGGTAAAACATTTCGTTATAAAAGTTATTCATCCAAAAATCAATTGTAAATGAAAATCTACTTAAAAAAAGGAGAAGAGGAAGAAGACGTTTCCTGTTTTAACAGGCTGTCTATCAAACACGAATCATAAATATTCGAACGTTAAGCTTAATTTGCCATATATGGTAATTATCAGTAAAACTGAATTACGTACTAATTTCAATCATTTTTTAGTTTATGCATGTCATGTACACTTAAACTTCATAATCCTTGCATCTATTTATGAATAGCTTCAATGATCAGCAAACGTATCTTAAAATGTAATCTCAGAAATGAGTATGAATATGTAAACAAAGCCTTCCTAATAAGATCGTTAATGGATTAAAAAAAATGTATTGACCTAAACGTGATTCTTGTATGAGAACTCGAGCATCTTAGACAAATCAATAAGGCTTATCATCTGGGGATTAAAACAGAATTGGAATGCATCTATTTTGATACATTTTTGTACAAAATATCCCTTTGTAACCCTCCGATAACATCTCGCGACTAAGGAGTAAACCCTGTAGCACGAGACAGATAGGTGTAGTTGTTACAGGTAATTCGACAAAGGTGTATACAGGTCTAGGTTTTTACTTTCTACATGAAAAACATTAGGAGGGCGAAATGGCCTATTTAGCACGTCGTTCAGTCATTCACCATTGATTCCTCTCCAATAAACCGACTTCTTAAACAATTTGCAGATATAGACTGTGACCATTATAAAACGTTTAACCATGTAGGCAAATCAATAAGATTTAAAGTATATATAGTATGTTTTGGGTACTGAAATATGATAAAAAAAAAATCTGTTGTATACCCATTTCAAAAAGGGCTGATAATGCCTAAGATTTTAGACCACCAAGATGGCCGCCCAGACTTAAATGCATTTACATTTACATATTTTCGATATAACAAGGTAGAAATGTAAATAAAGTACTTTTTTAAGTTTTGATACATAGATAATTTAACGCCATATTTTGTTTCATAATGAAAGTTGACAAAACTCATTGAATACGATATATATGGTCCTTCGTTGAGTGTACAGGAGAATGGCCATACATGACTAATTCCCAGCCATCATGAGTGCAGTGCTACGACAGTTTTTGATAACTTTGTTTAGCAGTTGCATTCCTGGATGAACTCTCTGCAAATTTTCCTGCGACCATGGCGTTTTAGAGATACCTCTTCGTAAAACCACATGAGTTAATCGATATTGACGGCAAGGAGAACAGATGTGGTACAAACTTAACATCGAGTTACATCAATCTGATGAGGAATAAAATAAGGGTCAGGACATGACTTTGCCAACTGGTAAATAAGATCAGTGTGAGTTCGGTTGCCAGACTGTTTCCACAAACGGCACGGACGATAGTATTTCCCCTATACTGGGACAAACAATGCGGTTGATGCGTGATAATGTCTCTTCTACTTTGTCTGACATTCTGCTACCATAAGCCTTCCACTACTGGTTCGCGGGTTCGAGACTTTTTTGGGCAGTCGCCAGGTACTGTCTGTAGGTCAATGGTTTTCCTTCGAGAAATCGTCGTTCCTCCACCACCAAAACTTGGCATGACCATAGCTGTTAATTGGACGTAAAGCACAAACAAACAAACAAAAGTCTACTTTGCCACACTATGGCAAAATAGGATGAACACAACAGTTTATGAAATCGGGACATCGAATTACATTATGAAGCACATGGAATTTGCTTTATCACCATTCAGTCATTGGCTGCAAAAGTGCGTCTCAGTTCAATGGTTAAAGTAAGCTTGGCAGGTGGTGCGCCGACATTACACTGATCGTAATGGCATTGGCAAGGGATCTATAATAAGAAGAGATAGTGATATGAGCAGAGGAAATACTTTGTTAGATATACGGTATACTCGAGATTGGTGCACGCATCGAAGCTTGGTCAGGTAGTTTTTAATAGATGTAGCTCGAGCTCAAGCAAAAGAGAATACGTCACCAGCTACACATGCAGAAAAGTTTCAAATCATACGTTAACACTATAAAGAAAGTGTTTGATACCAAATACATTAACCATATCCTGATCACCTGATCCTGGAGGTACCTGCAGGTTTAGTAGATACCCCATATTTTCTCTGCCTGTTTGCGACCTACAATGATAGCTTCCAAGGAGATCACCTCAAATGGTTTCAGATGAAACACCACTAACAACGCTGTACCTGTAGAGCAATTAGTCGTGAGGGAACCAAGTCGCATCTTCGCTAGCCAAGTGTTCGCTCGTATACACTCCACTTACCCTTGGCGGATATAGCCGTGTTTTCATAATTCCCTCCACTGCCACCTACAGGATATACCGAGTTATTGCTCTTTTCCCAAACAACTTTTAACCAATCAAAATGACCGTTACATACACACTCCAATGGCGTGTTGACATAAATATAAGCACGTGTATGTCGAGGCGGAGTAAAGTGACAGATCAATATGGAAACAATCCAAAGGCAGCACACATGTTTTCCCATGTCATCATTTACATGTGGCACTTGGTCAAGGATTTCCACCAACTGATTTAACACTCCAGAAATTTCCCCAAAGATCGTGCGCCCATTTTTTGGGGGCAAAACAATTTGACATAAACGACAACGTGCTTCCGTACAGGGCGTCGCCATTTTTTTTCATTCGTCAACAGCGCTATATGTAAGAAGCGATTTCATTGGATGTAAGCGATTGGCAGCGCAGGAAAAATTGAAGGCTCGATAAACATGGCTATATCCGCCAAGGGTAAGTGGAGCGTACACTTGGCTAGCGAAGATGACCAAGTCGTGGAACAACCATATCCTCGATAACCAGGGGTTACGCTCAGTTTCGCTCTCTGCACCCCTGGAATATTTCATAGCATAATTGAAGGCACAAAGACTCAGATTGATATGTATGCATTTACCTGCGTAAACACAGAAAGAGGCCGTCTATGACAAATAAATTGCAAATGAATTAAACATTCTTAAATAGTTCTTCAAGACATTAATACGAGTGTTTGTGTCTGACGTTTGTATATGAATTGAATATATAATTATAGCATTGGTATCTTATTAGAAAACGCAGTTTAAAAAAAAGCATAAGATATATCTGACAAGTGATATATGTACAGGTAACAAAGCCTAGTTTACTTCTATCCTACAAGTGCCATCATCGCGTAAGATGTTTTTTTTCTGAATTTACAATAGATCTTTAAGTGTTTGAATTAAGTAATGGTGTAGCTGTCATCCTCTGGAAATCAATGTAAACCGACGGTGAGGTCACAAAAATGTTGCTATGGGCTACCGAATGGAGCCTGTTAAATGGACATACATGTTACTAACAATAAAAAAATACGTAATATAAAAACATAACATGTCGCAATGCTTCCAACACCTATCTACTGAAGTGTTGGGTGGTATAAGAGGATTGGAGTCTTGATAATCATGCAAGCAATTGCAACCTTCGTTCCAAATACAGTTATAAATTTTTGAAACTAGATATTGCCAATTAAAACACTGATATATAATATAAACAAATAGCAGTGTTAGTTTGGGTTATATATTTCATAATTATATGCTTCCTTGTGATGTGATCTTCTGCTGTTCAAGATTGCCTTTTGCGAATATCTGAACATCAATTACAGTAAGATGGATGATTTTGTGAAAGGTATCCAGTATCACACCACAAATAGCATTCTGGTGCTAACTTACAGGTTGAATAGCTTCTTGTACATTCTTTCTTATATTAGATATAACTTTCCAAACATACAGATATCAAATATTAGGCAATAGGACAACAACATTAACGTCTTCCATACCCCATGCACGACACTAAGAACAAATACAAAAGCCTAGATTCGGAAGATTACTCCACGTGTTACCCCAAACGAACATGACATCGATTGTCGCAAAAATGATGTAATAAACCTGTCAAATTTTCAAACTTGTTATCTAGAGCGAGTTACCAGTTGATACCATATTAAAAACCTTCACAGTTTCCACAGGTTCCGTCTCCAGAAAGTCTGAGTATTGGCATATTGACAAACGACTAGTCTATCAACACAAATCACAGTAATAATGTGTAAGGTAACACATGGACGCGAACTTGTTGATATATAAATGCTAACTTCGATGTATCTCCGTAGTATGCCTCGTGTATTTTAAGAAAGACAATATTTTATCATTATAATCATGGAATGTCATTAGCTGACTATTGTTTTAGAAGGGTAGTATTTTCATATTTTTTATAACACATCATGACATTACTTTTAGCTCAAAGCACACGGTTTGTTCGCCAATAACTAGACTAGTTTTCTTTCGCATTTATTGTAAAGTATGATTTTGATCAGCATAATGTTCATGGCTCTGCTGTTGTTCAGTAGAATGTTCATGGCTCTGTTTTCGTTAAGTAGAATGTTCATGGCTCTGTTTTCCTTAAGTAGAATGTCCATGGCTCTGTTTTCGTTAAGTAGAATATTCATGGCTCTGTTTGCGTTCATTAGAATGTTTATGGCTCTGTTTTCGTTCAGTAGAATGTTCATGGCTCTGTTTGCGTTCAGTAGAATGTTCATGGCCCTGTTTTATCGTTAAGTAGAATGTTCATGGCTCTGTTGTTGTTCAGTAGAATGCTCATGGCTCTGTTTTTGTTCCGTAAACATGGAAAAACTAAAATGTCGGCACTTCCTTAGAAACGATAGATGAGGAAGTTATTAAAACTATATATATTTTTTTTTATTAAATCTCGCTTGAAAGCTTTTTAACTTGCGCTGTCAGCTTTAATATCACCTTTACTATATATTTTAGAAAATTGAAATGTTCCTTCAATGAATTGAAATTCTTTTTCTACACTGATTTTATTTCGCCCTCTGTAGGTAGCAGCAATGGCGATTCTTGGTGTCCTGCCTCTCTGTGTTATCTCGGTAGTGCTAGGCCGGGCTGTTGCACTTCCGGCCACAACGGATGCCGCCGCAACTGTAGGAACATCTATCAGTGACGTCAAACCAACTCCCGAAATCGCCTACAACTACACCGCTGATGTCAAAGATGCTTTTAGACTTGCTTTGGCGAAGTTGCATAATAATTATGGACAAACTGTTAATCATGGTAAACTTTCGGCTATACTTGTAATTGACACTGCTACGGAAACAATTTCGTTGCCGTGATAATTTGGATTCGTGAAAATGAAATAATGTTGAAGTGTTAATGAGTATTTCGAAAATGGCGTATTCACTTTTCTTACTGATAAAAATACATACCTCGCAACGTATGACAGACTTTCAGTATGTTCATCAAGTATTAATTGACGTTTTAAAAATGATAAAAGCAAAGTTATACGTTAAGGTCATGATGCATTTTGACAATTTAGCCCTGACGGCATAGTAACCCCTGATATACCGTTCTTAAGGCCATACACGACATAACTGTGTCAGACATTTATTTTCGAAAATACATTATGTTCAATTTCTCTTTTGATACCTATACAAGAATGGGGACTTTTGGAAAACAATTCTAGGCAATTCTGAATATATCTGTTAGAAAAACTTGTGTTACAAATGTCCATTTGATAGGCTTGAGAACAAGGTGATCGATACACAACGCTATGATTGGTAATCAATCGTATCTATTTTAGCAATTTTTTCTGTTGTTTACAGTATGATCACATTATACATGTTTAATCTGTCCTTATCACCTAAAAATGATAATATCTACAACTTATTGGGGTGATGTGTTTATCGATTTTACATCTGACCCCTTAATCGTTTCTAACACTCCCTACACATCAGGAAAACTACTAAGCCTACACAATGTTATCAACTGTATAGCCCCTATGGACAGTGCTGTGTGTATAGACTTGGTACTGTGTGTATAGCTTGGTACTGTGTGTATGGACTTCGTATTGTGTGTATGGACTTCGTACTGTGTGTATGGACTTCGTATTGTGTGTATGGACTTCGTACTGTGTGTATGGACTTCGTACTGTGTATATGGACTTCGTACTGTGTGTATGGACTTCGTACTGTGAGTATGGACTTCGTACTGTGTGTATGGACTTGGTACTGTGTGTATGGACTTCGTACTGTCTGTATGGACTTCGTACTGTGTGTATGGACTTCGAACTGTGTGTATGGACTTCGTACTGTGTGCATGGACTTCGTACTGTGTGTTTGGACTTGGGACTGTGTGTATGGACTTCGTACTGTGTGGATGGACTTCGTACTGTGTGTATGGACTTCGTACTGGGTGTATGGACTTCGTACTGTGTATATGGACTTCGTACTGTGTGTATGGACTTCGTACGGTGAGTATGGACTTCGTACTGTGTGTATGGACTTCGTATTGTGTGTATGGACTTCGTACTGTGTGTATGGGCTTCGTATTGTGTGTATGGACTTCGTACTGTGTGTATGGACTTCGAACTGTGTGTATGGACTTCGTACTGTGTGCATGGACTTCGTACTGTGTGTTTGGACTTGGTACTGTGTGTATGGACTTCGTACTGTGTGTATGGACTTCGTACTGTGTGTATGGACTTCGTACTGTGTGTATGGACTTCGTACTGTGTGTATGGACTTCGTACTGTGTGTATGGACTTCGTACTGTGTGTATGGACTTCGTACTGTGTGTATGGACTTCGTACTGTGTGTATGGACTTCGTACTGTGTGTATGGACTTCGTACTGTGTGTATGGACTTCGTACTGTGTGTATGGACTTCGTACTGTGTGTATGGACTTCGTACTGTGTGTATGGACTTCGTACTGTGTGTATGGACTTCGTACTGTGTGTATGGACTTCGTACTGTGTGTATGGACTTCGTACTGTGTGTATGGACTTCGTACTGTGTGTATGGACTTCGTACTGTGTGTATGGACTTCGTACTGTGTGTATGGACTTCGTACTGTGTGTATGGACTTCGTACTGTGTGTATGGACTTCGTACTGTGTGTATGGACTTCGTACTGTGTGTATGGACTTCGTACTGTGTGTATGGACTTCGTACTGTGTGTATGGACTTCGTACTGTGTGTATGGACTTCGTACTGTGTGTATGGACTTCGTACTGTGTGTATGGACTTCGTACTGTGTGTATGGACTTCGTACTGTGTGTATGGACTTCGTACTGTGTGTATGGACTTCGTACTGTGTGTATGGACTTCGTACTGTGTGTATGGACTTCGTACTGTGTGCATGGACTTCGTACTGTGTATATGGACTTCGTACTGTGTGTATGGACTTCGTACTGTGTGTATGGACTTCGTACTGTTTGTATGGACTTCGAATACCAGGCGTTTTGCATGTATCATTAAGAACGATGGTAAACAAGTTGAATTATAAGAACGTGCTTGTGAGGAAGTCTTTTTCTGATATTCTAGACATAACAGCAACAATGAGAGCAGACTTCCATACGCTGTGCCCAGTACCGAGAAGGGAACCTGAAACACAGGCGGATTCCAAGATGGCATCACTTGGCCTTGACGCCATTCAACAGTTAAGCAACAGGTATGTAAGCTAGATTCATATAATTTTCGGCTAATGTCATGTGTTCTTGAGAAGCATTATCACTGGCTAGTCCAGACTTACTAGCTGTAGGTACCTACATGTATCTACAAATTGCATCTTTTCAGAGTCAAGATGCGCTCTGACAAGTTCGGTATATCCTGATTATCCGTGTTTACCTAGCTGTATAGATGAATTACAGCATGTTTGGAAGTTATGTTCCGAGAGACTGCATTCCATTTACAATGAAATCATGAACCTGTCACTTCGGTATATATTTCTATGCTATTGGATATTACTAGACTTTCAAGTAATAGCAAATACATCCAAGCAAAATAATGAACCTTCGTCTGTATAATTCATCTATAACATTACGAATAAATGAATGCTTTGAATGATTACAGTCCATCATAATTCTATGCAAAAGGGTTTGAATTCCTTCATCGATGTTTCGCCGTTTGGATTATTGCATAAATCGTTTTTATCATAGCGTTGGAATTTCGGCGGAGGATATTCTCAAATCGGAGCAATGGCGGGATTCACTGGGAGCCGAGTTCCGGAAGTACTGTAATGAAAGAGCGTCTCACCTTCACTGTGAAGCTAACTCCCCCTACCGGACGATTGACGGTTCCTGTAACAATATAGGGCATCCGGCCTGGGGCATGACGGGAATGCCCCAAAAGAGGTTCCTTGCGCCAGACTATGATGACGGTATGCTGTTAAAATCGAACCAAAACAAAAATTGTGTTGAAAATGTTTTATTCACTATAAAACTATAATAAACAACAGACAATTATCCAGGGATATGTACATGATTGATAGATATATTCATTATAAAGAATAGCATACATTCATCATGTGTGCGAGAAAATATATATTCAGCGATAAAATCATATTATTAGCTGATGTACATATTTTAATGGAGTTATACATTGATCGCATTTGATGAATGACATCATCATAAATTGACAAATTGATTGCATAACTTACAGCATTCTCAATATCCAGGGGTTACGCTCACATGCGCTCTTTCCCGTAAATTCTTTTGAGAAGCAAGTTGTAATCACATTATCTTAAAAGAAATTAATATTAAAAGATTTTCCAATCACGTTTGCACTACATTTTTAACGCTAATTATACGTGTGCTTTTTATATCTGTTCTAGGTTTCAATTCCCCTCGGTCACGTGGCCAGGATGGCGCGCCCCTCCCCAACCCCAGAAACATCAGTAACGAGCTCCATCAGTCAAACGGGAACCAGACATACGAGTCCAAACTGTCCGTGATGCTGATGACCTGGGGTCAGTTCATCAATCACGACATTGTCGGGACTCCACTCATTAAAGGTGTGTGACTACAATCTTCGTACTGTCTACCGTGTCTTACCGGTAATAAGCCCAGGAAGGATTTCCATTTAAATTGTATACATTTATTTCTAGGATTTAGATCCATCGGTACAATTTAGACGGCAAGTGTAAATAGGAAAGTCTAATTTTGAATACGCTTCAGACGAAAATTATTTATGTCCCCATCATTTTGGATGTTTTTATAGTTATCAATCATGCACAGATGACTTGTGCACTGTAAAAATAAACAACTGACAAAACATGATTTGGTAGTTATAGATTATCACACTGTATTTTCAGTGTTTGTCGTGAGGTGGACTCGAGATTTTATCTACGTGCAAGCGATGAGAAAATTGTGCGAACAGTGATCTATTATTTTGTGGAATTTCTGTTGTTTATTAATGTTTTTCGTGTGAATCCTAACATTATTTTCAAAACTTTTGATGAGACCTATCAGAAAGCCATACCTGTATAGTGGTTTCTTAAAACTTAAAGCGAGTCTCACTGGAAACCACGAGTAGAACTCAGATATCCGTGTCTCTAAAATCATTGTGTAGAGAATCAGACAGAACTGTCTGTTCTTGTTGATAGAAAACGGGTCCCATTAATCTGGACGCAGTTAGATGTAGGAACCGTGATTGAAAGTGATCAAACCAATTTTGAACAGAAGTTTAAATTCGGTGAAACAACCGAAAACCAAATTCCACTTCCTAAAACCTATCAAGACCCCGTAAAATCCAGACAATCATTACTTGTTCTAGAATGTATTGTACCCAGACAACAACTTGTAGATGTATGCTTTATCTAGAACTCCTAAACACAGTATGTAGAGGTGAGAGGTAGTATTAATGATTTGTTTACCGTGATGTTACATTTACATGCTGCTTTTAACATTTTGTATGATACTAGTACGTACTGTTACACTTTATCTGTGTATTTTTTTTATTTTTTTTTTATAAAATCCCTTTTAAAATAAAAGCCACCAGATAAGGACGGTATTTATTTTACCTATTTGGGATTATCATGGCGATATATGATTTCGGCACATTTATAACTTTTGTTAACAGTTTTCATTAATATTGTCATAGTGGGAGTTTGTTGGATTTTCAGGTTTCATCCTTTTTTCTGGAGTGAATATACCTCGGACTACAAGAGTTTCAATGTTATAAAATTAACTTAATGTTTCCCCTTTTCAGATAGTCACGGCCGGTCACTAGATTGCTGTGGTCTGGATAAGACAAAGTGAGTATACATGCCTGAATGAACTGTCTTTAAACAATTGACATCGCCGCAGGATCGGGGGGAAATTACATTTTGCGCATGGATTAGCTGTCTCCTTACAAATCTATGTACAGTATCATACACCTGTCTTACCTTTCCTTTTGGGCGGTAACTCCGTATGTTCCCCTGAATAGCCCTCTGTCAAAAAAGAGTCAATCGGGTGGGATGTCAGGTCCCGATAAGAAATAAATTAAATAAATTGGTTGAAATGTGGTAACAGTGACACCTGCAATTTGTGTTAGAGTTATCTCCCTTCAGATATATTACCTCTTTATACTATGTGTACTCGTCCATTGTGATAGGGTTAAGGCTGTATGCTATAATCTGTACTTTAAATATCATACCTGTGATTTGTGCTAGAGTTAAGACTATATCCAATACACCCAAACTCTTGATGTGTGTTACAGTTTTTTCCCACAATACATATGTTTATTCTGAATAACTAGTATCATCATTGCAGCCACTCTGAAAGGTTCCATCGTGCTGACATTATTTTCCATTATGTTGTGATAAGGGTATATTCTATTTCAATATTCCAACTCCAAAATATTTGTGAGTCTGATTTAAGATCTCAAAAGAATTTCCTTTCACATAAAACCGATGAAGCGTGGTTTTTATTCTTGTGAGGCTTTTTAGAGCATACTCATAATATCCATTACATTAGTATTACCCCAAAAACTCGAAGTATCAAATTAAGTGTTTCTAAATTAATTTAATCTGGAACTCTTTAAGGCAGGATACTTTTAAGTTGTTTTATATTTAAACAATCTTCTGGGACCTTATTTGTGAAACCATTCTTAAAAGATTTTCCTTTCTAGCCAAATATTGCTTTGAGAATGAGAGCGATGTTGCTTATTCAGACCCTGATATATTCTTCATATGTATTTACGATATTAGCATTATGGAATGTTCAATGAAGTTATATATTTAATGGTTATGACAAAATTATAATATCAATTACATTTTATACACTAGGTCGCTATGTTTACAGATAATTACCAGATATAATAGTTATATCATTAATACAAACGAGACATTTATTTGTTCCACAAAGTGTCTGTATATTAAACCTTATTACCTATATCATGACTGAGCGCGATTTTATTGCATATGAACAAATTTATATTAACTGTCCGGGATGATATCCTTTGCCCTTCTACATGGACATATCATATACATGCATACTGTTATATAGAGGCATTGTTAGCTTTACATATTATAATTTAGTAATTAAATTAACTGGTTTTTAATGAAAAGAATTTCTCATGTATAGAAGTTATAAATACGAATGATTCATGGTTTTGGGGTGAAAGATATGAAGAAATTATTGTCTTAAAAGTCCAGCACAATCTAGACACTATGTTATGTTTTTTCAAAAATAAAAATGTTTGTCGATTGATTGTTCCAGAACTAGATTTGTTTAAAATACTTTCATCGTTTTAACTGGTTGATTGTTCCAGAACTAGATTTGTTTAAAATACTTTCATCGTTTTAACTGTAGAGTGTCCGGCTTTTTCTATTTTCATTTCACAATTTGTCGGGTTCCTCGAACTCACATAATCCTAACTAAACACGATCTGGGAGTAAAGAAACGTAACAGTGATATGTATACGTGTTATAAACAGATATGTTGATACTAGAGTTAAGATGAGGAATCTGTGATCAGCTGAACTTTGATTGACACATACGTAAGATGACTATACTTGGTGTAAAGTGTTCCAGTGGCAGACTGGTACGGAGTCTCTCCATTAGCTGACAACAGCTGACATTTTCATTAGAAATTAACATGATAATTTTATGCTAATTTGATACGTAAGTAAAGCATTGATTCAAAGGATAGGAGACATAGGTATTAGTTACAATACATCGTGCATACACCTGAGATAGAGATGGTGTTTCATGCAGATGCACTTAATATTGTGGCAATATTTTGTTCTACCATATCACGCTGGATTAGCATATGGAATAATTCATAAAGTGATTAAATACAAAATCTATACGAGGATATGCTTGAGTGATTAGCATATACGGAAGCCTTGACGTGTGGACGACCAATACAGGAAACAACAGTGGCGTTCACATTATACAGGTTTACGGGCTAGACAGGTTCCTGATGTATAACCTACCTGTACACACTTGGACTTCAGTCTGATTCGTGGTACACCGAATATCACGACAAACATTGAGGATATAACACTATGTATTCTATATGATAAGCCATGTATAGAATCACATGCATTGGACGATATGTAACGAGAGTTATACGTAATACTCTAAAATAAAACTGATCATTTATTCTGAAAGTAATTTGTTTCATTCCTGCACCTGTTTATTCTGAATACTACGAAGCCCGGAAAGGGACACAGTGAGAAAAACGAGATATCGGTTTTACATTTTTTTACCATGACCTTTCCCGGGCCCAATCAAGATTACCCATATATTCTCGAAATATGATTGGTGTGATCCATTTACCTGTATAATTTGTATTTTTCAATATCAAATGTTATTTCTGTATCCGTGTAATTGAGTACACAATTGTGCTGATAATCATCTGTCTACGGTAACCTGTCAACAGTAGGAAGTGTTACCCAGTCACCTATCTGATATGTACATATAAAGGTTCCTATCGAGTGATGGTAGTTATCATGTTTATCTACGTGTATCTCGAATTAGTTCATTTTCAAATTGTTAAAAGACACCAGGTGAACCAAGTGTCTCTTAACAATTTGAAATTAACCAATGCGAGTTTAATGACCATGATAGCCATCACGAGTTTGAGAACCTTTTTCTCTCTCGTAACGTTTATATTTTATTAGGAAAAACACATATATTTCCACTGGAAAATACAAATACAGTTGTTAGTGGTTGCGGGAGAAATGTATTTACTTTGACCCTGTTAAGTTTAATCAGGATTTTACTCTGTTATGACCTTTGTCGTTTTCTCTCTGACACAGTCGGGACTGTTTACCTGTGGATATCCCAATGGACGACCCTTATTACGACTCTTCCTGTATGAACTTTGTCCGAACGGCTCCAGCCGCTGGACCAGAGTGCTCCATAGGTGAGGCACCTCATATGTTGTAGAAAGCAAGAAAAACGGCTCAATAAAACCGGGCATTCTGGAAAACTGACCGTCTGGCTCTCTATATTTACAAACTGACCTACAGATTAATGTGTACATGTGGGTTGTGTTCGAGTTATCCTCGCTTTCGTTTTAATTACCTCCCTAAGTTGTTTTCCTTATATACACATATATTTTAATTTTACTTTAAAAAACCCGATTGATTGTTAAAAACAGCTACCATATTTAGTTAGGTAGTACGTGTTGCTTTCCGTTTTATTTTATTTTCTGTTTATCTTATCATTATTTTAACAGGGGACAGACGCATCATAATAACAGTAACAATAATCAATAAAAAATTGGAACATTATCATTAATACTTATCCTTTTTCTCTCGCATGAGATGATTTGTTATCCAAATGCTCTTTCCTATATTAGAGCTATTTAAAACAAGTTATATTCCTAGAATATTTACAAACACAGTCAAAATGAGTTAACTAATCAGATATGTCTTAATTATTAGGTGAGAGACGTCCAATTAACAAAGTGACGTCATACCTTGATGGTTCTGCAATTTACGGATCAACAAAAGAAGAGGAAAGCCGTTTACGTCAAATGGAACATGGTTAGGCAACTACATGTTTTTGTATTCTCTTTAAAATGTTGTGAGCACGATTTAGGATGACTGGTAAAAAAACAACAGGCCAATGTAAACACTGTACTTCAAAAATATGAGAGTGAATTACTATCAGAGATTAAAACAGCGAACACATCAACTCCAGATCTCAATCGGGAACCTCCGGCACTTTCTGTAAACGAGAAAACATTTTCTCGTTTACGGAAAGTGCCGACGGTTCCCAATTGCTCATAAATCTGTGTCACAGGTATTTCAGCGAATTTTATATACATGCATAACATTAAAATCAGCGTTTGATTTAATTAATTACAGAGATAATTCAGTTTTTTGAAGAAATCTTTGTGAAATCTTTAAATCATCCATATTCTAAATTGTGACTTCATCAGAAGTATTTCTCAGGCAATATATAGCCACTATACATTTTTATAAAACTTTTACTTACCATTACTACAGGACTGCTTCGAGAGGGACACCATGGTCTTCTCCCTCCTACCGGAAATGATAACTGTATTCTACAGAAGAAAGGACAACAATGCCAGCTGGCTGGTTAGCCTCTTTTTTATTTTTTATTTTAAAGTTACGAACCATAAAAATTGACCCTATCGATTTGATATCATTAATTCTTCTTTTTTCACGTTAGAGTATATTGTACATCATTTGCAGTCGTATGTTACGTTAAACGTTTTAGTTATTAGTATCATTAGAGTTATTTCCCTTTGTCCGTTTGTAATATAACAATCTATATTACGTTATCAATGTAATGTATTACAAACATTTTAATGTTACAGAATGTATGTAAATATGTCATCATTTATCTAACGAGTTCCAAAATAACATTTGTATGAAAAAGATTACTTTATTCGTAACGCTGAACTTTTGTCAAGGTAACATACGATTTTTTACGCTTTTGACAGCAGATAAACAAAGACAAAATGTAGATAGTAAAATTTAGAGTGGATACCGGTCAATTGAACTGTTTTTGTATGGTATTTATGATCTATTTGAATGACACAGCTTTGCAAGCAAACAACATAATGCGCGCTACTAGATCATAAATATCATACACAAACAGTTCAATACTTAGATTTACGTTTTCTCTTCCTCTTATGTTCTTTTTTAACTTATGATTTATATTTAAAATTAAAAATGCCCGCCTTATCGACAGTTCACACAATTTCGTTCATGGTTTGAACAGCGTATTGTCGCGTGCTGATTGGCAAACAAAGTAGTACTTTGAAATTTTAACAAACACTTCAATTTTATTCCACAATTCAGTATCAATACAATTGCGTATGATATGTCTATAGGGTGATTTAAGTTTATCAATAGAACTCTGAGCTGAAAGTTAGATTTGAAATTGTTTCGATTTTTCCCCGGAACAAATTACGCGCATGGACAAATACAGTGAACACCGTAAATCCGACCTAGCCCTCCACGAGGGATTTATTTTTGGAAGTTTTTGTGAAGAATGTATGGGAATCTGACTATAGTCAGTAGATTCTTTAACAGCCTCGTTATTTGACATGTCGTTATCAGTAACTGGGGCACCGTGTCTGCGAGACGCGTAAAACTGATATCGTTTGATAAGTTTTTGATCTTGCGACAGAGCACAGGTTCGTTACAAATGTCTGAAATGTTTATGTGTGGCTTGACTCATATCAGTAGGTCTGTAACATATGTCAGTAGGTCTATAGAATATGTGTATTTCAGACATTTGTAACGAACCCCTGTTGATCAGTGCAGTGTAACAGACGATATTTCTGATAAATTGCATGAGCGTTAAAATTGTTTCCATTGCCGGCATTGGTGATTTCAACCGATGTGCATTTTGTACGATACATTATGTATTACAGACCTTCGTCTTGTTTTCGTTGTAATAAAAGTATTTTTTATTTACTCTTTTCTTTTGCACATAAATTTACGATGACATTGTCAAATCTCACAATGCCAAGCGATATTTCAGCAGCCGTCATGTTTATTTATATTGAATATTGTAGTTCCGGTTAGTATTGTATTAATACGTTAAGAATTTTGTCTCGTGCTGCATGGTAATTAAAGTCCCATCAACGACACAGCTTTCAAAGAGGCTATTTAGTGACAATGCCATGCAAATGTAAATATATTTCGATAAACTGTATTTAAAATGAGCCGTCAAAATTTCACCAGAAAATATTTTTGCCATAGCCCCGGGGCCCTCGGGCTTCGTTTATCTATTCGTTTACAGAGTCATCTTTTACACTTAATTATATGGATTTCTAATATAACATAATCTTACACACAACCGAAATATACTTCTTTGCACATTCTTTATTCTAGGGGATGAACGTTCAAATTTAGTGGCCTCCATTGGTGCCTTACACACTCTGTTCATGCGCGAACACAACCGAATTGCGTTGCATCTTCACGAAATCAACCCGTCCTGGGAAGATGAGCGACTCTACCAAGAAACGAGGAAAACCGTCGGCGCAATTATCCAACACATCACCTATCACGAGTACCTGCCACTGATAATCGGGAAACCTCTCATCAACTTTTACAACTTGGACGATACGGAATTCGGACACGTCCAGGCGTACAAAGACTACGTTAATGCCGGGGTTTCCTCTGGCTTTGCTGCTGCCGCTTTTAGATTCGGACACTCTCAAATTCCCAAAAAGCAAACGTACATCGGACCAAAGTTTGAAAAGAAGAAGGGAGTAGTTCTTGAAAAGACATTCCACAAGCCGTACTATCTACAGAGGAGCAAGCATTTTGGTTATGAGGGGATTCTCAGATGGTTGATCTCAGATCCGACTCCTACGGTCGATAGGTAATTTACATTTACGTGTTAATTAATTTGACCAATTTATCTATTGGTCGAATCTTCCCAAACATTAAGAGAGTCGGGTATAATCATACGCATAAAAAGTCAATTATTGAAAAACACTCATTTTTCGCGAGATTGGTTGTTTTGTGTTGCTTATCTTATCAACTTAAACTAAAGATAAATACATTATACGACAAATGCTCCTTTTGCTAATCCAAATCCTCGCGAATCATTCGATTAAACCTGAGACTCGGAAATATTTACTCGCGACAAGCTCAATATACAGGTTTAAATCTGTTTTACGAGTCTTGCTTGTTAGTAGAAGATTGCCATCAAATATTTCCCCTTCATATTTGAAGGGGAGACATCTGAACACATTTTGTCATCGCAAACAATGCGGTGTGTTTTAACTGTGTCTCTGTTTGGGACCCTTGTCATTTTCTTTAATCTTATCACGTCTCTAAAGTTCTCGTTACTTCATTGACATACTAATTTCTAAGCTACGCATTGCTCTCGCTCGTTTCCCAATATATTTGCCATTTTAGGCCCTGTAAATGAGGTTCATATTGTACAATGCAGCATTGATAGGCCGTTAGGTTTTTAACATGCTACCAAACACACTTGTAATTTAAAAGTCTGTACAGCTTTTTGTTTCGGTTTGTATCCGTTGTTGAAAGGGTAAACCTGCAGCAGTTGACACGATGTAAACATATCACAGTAAACGCATTTGCATTTGTGAGCTATTTTCAAAATTGTATTTTTTGTTCATCCGTCGGCATAATAACATATATTAAGACCGTACTAAACCAGCTGATATGTCTAACTGAAAGATCAGAGAGAGCGATGCGCGGCATATCTCTTTGATGTACACCTATACATGTGTTTAAATTAATACGGATGAGACAAAAGAATATGTTATCGATTCTCATTAGAAATCAACTCTAAAAATTACTTACCAAATTTCCAATTTCCGTCTTTTTAGCAAACTCTATCACTTCCAAAATAAACAGTATTATACTCATGTTAATTTTTTTGTTATCGCAATTAAATAAGAAAGCAGCTGATCATAATACTTCATATTGTATATACAAGTTTCCTAAAAACATCACCTACCTAAAAGTTGTATATGATTAACGAATCATTTGAATGTCATCAGAATCGCAATATCCAACATGGCATCAACTGGACTCAAAGTGCAAAGTGAGGTCACAAAGGAGTTTTATTGAAATAACGTCAGTTTTATTGAAAACTTGAGTATTCGAAATTGTGCACTGCAAGAGATTGAGATTATTGCTTCACGATGTTGTTAGAGAAAGGGTATTGTTATATTCGTCTGCTTTCCTTCAAGGTACCTTGAAGATGGTGTCCGCGATAGGCTTTTCTTGTTGCAAAACATTAGCCTCGATTTGGCTTCAATCAACATCCAAAGAGGACGTGAACAAGGAGTGCCGTCTTACAACGCATGGCGGAAATGGTGTGGACTGTCGGAAGTGACGACATTCGAGGTCAAACGAAATGGTGGTCTCGAAGATCACGACGAAGAAACAGCTGCAGTATTGCAAGAGTTGTACAGGTAATCTTTGTCATTGACTTCTAGTTCATGTAAGATTACATTTACAAGTCTAGGAATATTCTTTTTTGCAAGGTTCTGCCTGAGACATAAGTGGTACAAAACTATTATATATACGGTAGCATGGATCACTGGTGAAAAACGAAATAGGTCTTAACGGCTTGAATAGTGCAAAAAAAAAAGCTTGCACGCATCTTTCCAGCTGTATGAACCTGAAAATCATTTGCGGGAAGTAATCCGGCTAATGTCTGACAACGCTCATTGAGAACATTGTAAGTATAGCCACTCCGACACAAATGTGGTAATGATCTAACCCTTTGGACATGAAAGATATATTTTATGGTTTAAATATATTTTTAGGAGTCCCAATGATATTGACCTATATTCTGGTGGAGTATCTGAGGTTCACGTCCGTGGTGGTAGTGTTGGACCTACATTTGCATGTATAATTGCGCGACAGTTCAGTGCAATGAAGGTTGGGGACCGCTATTGGTACGAAAACAACGACACCACCACCGGGTTTACCACAGGTAAGCACAGTTTCATATTGGATAGGTATCGGTTCACTAAGGATAAGTAGGCTTACTAGTTCTATATCGGAACATGTAGGTATTGGTTTATGTCGGGTACGCCTTCTGGTTCACCTTGGTAGGTACTCGTTAACAGAGGGTAGTTTTTGGTCACATTTGGTTAGCACTAGTTCATTTTGGGTTGATACTGGTTCCCATCAGGAAAGAAAACACCAGTTCACATCGGGGAGAGGCATAAACAATGTGTTGATCCAATTGTGTTCATAGCTATATGACTTGCAGCGTTAATGCAAACTTTAAAGTGTTATGAATACTTACTACACATTTGGTGCTTTTTCCAAGCGTACTTTAAAAATCTTGCCAGGTTCTCCCCCTCGTCTCGAGTTTTCAAGATATTATAGCAATTATTTTGAAAATACCATTGCGTTTATTTGTCAATATTTCCCGGGTCCCTATGTGAGAGCCAATGTAGCAGAGGTGATCTGAAGAGAAATTCTCCGCCGCCGAGTCGGTAGGAACCAACTAGTATTTCATCAGGGTGACACATCAGCAGTTCTACTGTATAGTGCTTCTATGATTCTATCACTTCTATACGTTTCGTGGCTATTAGGACGTAATTCATGTTTTTGAATTGTTCATTACTCAGGCCAGCTGGATTCCATTAAGACGATAGAGTTATCAAAGCTTATATGTGAAAATATGGACATCCCGGATATACAGCGAACTGCCTTCCTCACACCTAAAATAAGGTAAAGATATAGAGTTACGTTGTATGCATTGTTACCTTTGTATAAAGTTACCTCCTTTACTAAAGAGTTTACCATTACGAAGCCTGTAGAACTGGTTTACGAATTGAAATTCAAACTTACTGGCAGCATTATTATATCTTATAAAATAATGCAATTATGAATGTGTTAGCAATACTGAAAGAACGGGAAAATGAGGACAAACACGTTAAGGGTCACGTGATGTTAGGCGTTCTGATTTATTTTACCAATGTTTTATCATTAAGTATACCTGGCCCGCTGTAGGTAAAACACTAGAGAGTTCCGGTGGTTTGTTTCGTATGTTACTTTCGTTTTGGCTGTAACTGTAGGACAATTAAGTAATAACACTCCCATTGACAAGATAACTTAGTTGGTCAGAGCGGCTGTATAACAGAGGTCCTGTGTTCTTTATCAGTTTTCACAAAAGTCCCACAAGATGTGGTTTTCAATGCATAGTTTCGGTTTTTGGCAGTAGTACAGAGAACCTTAAATGTATAAACGAAACTTTTTAACGGAAATATATATATTGTTGTAGTGGTGTACACACACGCCATATCCCGTGCTCCTTCCTGCCGGACTTAAAGTTCAAAGCATGGCTCGACAAGACACCCAAGTGGTCTGAAAAACTAGCCCCGCAGCCATCAGCGCAACCGACTGTTGAATCAACCATTGCGGCCGAAAAGCCGACTGCACCGTCAAAAACAGTAGAAACCCTTGCTGCCGAAAAGCCGACTGCACCGTCAAAAACAGTTAGTTCTGTTACCGGTGTAGAAACCCTTGCTGCCGAAAAGCCGACTGCATCGTCAAAAACAGTTAGTTCTGTTACCGATGTAAAAACCCTTGCTGCCGAAAAGCCAACTGCAGCGTCAAAAACAGTTAGCTCTGTTACTGATGTAAAAACAACAGCACAAATTGTAGCGGATAAAACGACATCAGTTGCTGCCTAGAATAGCCGAGTCGTGTCTCCAGTATACTCCTTACTTGATGTTTTGATGGTAGATACTTGGTAATAAAAATGTGATGTTTTTATTCTCGAATTTTCCTGGTTGTGTTTTGTAGTCTCTTAGTTAGGGCAAGCGGGTATACGATTGCCATTGATGTACCGTGTGTAGTAAGCAGGCTATATTTGTAACTAATATTGAACTAATATAAAAAATAGGGACGGGAAAAATTAGAAAATAAAATCTACTTCAGTTTTGGAGAACGTGAATTGAATATTATACATACTAAACTGAGGAACAATTGTAGTTTCTTTCAGTATGTTTTTTAAAGTTGTGTCTTTGTACCTTTGTGAACATTATATACATCTATTTAAGGATTAACCTTTTGTTTTGTTTAGTTTATGAGATAATAAATTAAATGGAGCACAACGAAAATTGCGTTTACGAACAATCTACCTCGTGCTCCATTGGATTTATTATCTCATAAACTAAACAAAATAAAAGGTTAATCCTTATATTTACAATAATTTCTTTCAACAATAACACCATTAAAAGAGTCTGATACAAGCATTTACCTTGTGTAATCTGCGTTCAAATGATGTTGACGTCATGTTAACCCATGCGAAACAGCCATTTGCTAAAGCCGTTGACAGACAGCTCAACCCCGCACACTTTCTCCGTGACAACAAAAGAAAATAGTTCCTCCATTTCAATATTTTTATTCACATAAAATATCCTTATTTTACTTCATACAATATCTTAATAATTGTATTAGAAGGTAATGGAATAAATAATTTTGTATGTGCATGAAATTGAGGAATTAGGGCAAAATACTAAGTAGAAAATACTAATGACCGCGTACGTCCATCGTTTGAAAGTGATGCGCACAAAGGCGGGAAATAGAGAGTGGTACCATGTCCTCGAGCGATAGTAACTAGCCTAGGCCTGGTGGAAATTGAATGTGCAGTTATTGAAGTTGCTACTTGTAAGCATACCAGAGGTTTGTGCAGATGACATGTATGATGTGGATAAATCGTTTGTTGGCCAAGTGACTTTTGGGAGACGAGAAGTTTGACCTATATTTCCAGGAACAATAGCCATCGTTTCTGTGTCATGGCGGCCGACACTCATACATTGATGGAGCGTGTTTGTACCGACAAACAATCGCGACTGTAGCTTCTGACACGAGCTGACAAAAGCATCNAAAAAAAAAAGTTTTTATTTTGGTGTCTCGAACGCACGGTAGTCTAAATGCTAGCGTTTGTTTGTAAACATTGACACGAGGTTTGCGGAAAGAAGTCTGCCAATATTTACATATATTCATTCGCGGTGAACTGGGTCACGTTCTACACTCAAGTTATTGAGAAATAAACAGACTTGCCCACACTTTCAGAAACAGTGGCAATTGTAAATATTTCATGTGTATTCCTACTATCATTGTTGTCATGTAATTGTAAATGTATGACGGGAGAAGGCTGTGATAAGTTGTAATAACTTGTGCCAAATCCCTTATTCAATTTTATTGGCAATAAATGTGTTTAAAGTAAAGTAACAAAATGGTTTAGAAAGTAGTAAGGAAGCAGGCAAGCGTGAAATGGGTAGTTATATAATTAATGTAGATTACAAATTGTAGGGTAAACTATTCTATTTTCATCTAGCGCTTGCGTTCATTACCGATAGCAGTAGCTGTCTCAAGTAAACAACTACATGTATATACTTCAGACCAGGAGCTGTAACCCCAGATTTTTAACTTAAGTCCCAGTCCCGGCGATAATTTAATGAATACTCACATTTTACATGCATCAATGATTTGGAAGATTTCTGGCGAGACTAAACGCCGAATACCCTTTTCAGTGTCACATGATTTCAACAGGTTACGTGAAAGATTGTTTCAGCGAAGAATTCATGCTTGAGCACGAGAACAGTTTCATCAGTACGTGTTCAAGTTAATTACCCAGATAGAGCTCTAACAACATTAAAGGAAGAAAATGCCGTAACAAGAAGTCATCAGGTAGCAGATACAGTAGAGGGTTGTGGCCATGGGTGATATTTTTGTTAAATGGCTAACCCCTGTATAATAATATGTAAAACAATTATACAAATAAAACTGTACTAAAATTGGTATAAGCATGATGAAGTGGGCGATGTGAGCTCCACATTTGTAAAAATAAATATTTTTTTGGTTCGAGAATAAAATGTTGGCCATAATCCGAAAGGGTGCCTACCCATGAAAAGCTAGCTTTACAGGAGGTAAAATTTTGCCAACAGCACACGACGCAGAATTGCAAACAATCAAGTTTTACAACTTTACTGGGACCCAGATAATTCTGCAACCAGGTAGGTAATCTTTAATTTCAGACAGAACTTAGGAAAAAAAACTAGTTGCGGGGGTCAAATTTTGTGTCAAAAATAGCAATTTCTGAAACATTCTGAAATGGTCTCAAGTTAAGGTAGCCATTTCAACTTCTATATTATCAGATAAAGAAAGGCGACCGATACATGCCACATGAGTAAATAAAGATTCCTTTATCAAAATATACAATGATATGCTATGTTTTCATGAGTAAAAGTATGTAACAATTTTGTTTCGAAATACATGGTATATGTAAAGTAAATTTGTCCTAGATTAGTGACAAATAAAGGGACGCTGTCCCATTTGGCTAATGGGAGTCTATGTCCAATCGATTCTTCCGCTCTAGTTAGTTTCAAAATATCGTACAATTGTTGGAACATTTTGGCACAAATGTGCGCACGATGGATTAACGATGTGCGATAGCAATCGTGGTTGTTGCTAATAGAGGAATGACTTAAGAATGAAAACTTCGTTTTCAAACTTCTATCAACTTGAATTTCAGGTGTATTTAATATGTCTATGTTTTAATATTAATATTCAATTTCGAAATTGTGTTTTGAGCTTTTCATGATCGACACGTGCGCAACACATTTTTGACACGATCTCATGCACATACATTTGTATACAGGTACACGGTTTTCAGTTTTTATTTAACCTTGAGCTTCACGACCAGTCAGCATTACATATACATACCACCATTTATAGTTAAATACATGTGCAAAACACATAAAAGAGTATATATCATTGTAAATACAATAGTATAATACAATAGTATAATACAATACAATTGAAGGTATACAAGATGTTAACCCTCGCTATGGAACATTTTGATAACTAATGTACAAGTTCGATACATCCAAACAACATATACATGTATCAGTTCTGATCTTTAGTTGGGGTATTTGAATATAACCTGTATCAGGAGGTTGAACTTTATGGTGACTGTAGTGTCTTTCAGGGGGCTTGTTAAATCATTGAGCTAATAACCATCATTTATGAACACTTCGACATTAAATTCCAATATAGATATATTTGATAGGATCTGAATGATTAACTGGGCTATTGAGTCCAACACCATCCATCCTTTAAATCGGTTTGATACTGAAAACCTATATCCCCTAGCGTAAGTTTACGTATTTAATAATGACATGGCATGAAGCCAATTGCCAGTGAGGTAGGTTTTTTGTTAAGGGAAAGCCGTAGGTAAATATGCGTGTAGCTATTACCGAACTAACGCAATAGCAAGGTCTTTCAGTGAGGAATAAACACGTACATTTTCCCACGCTGTCGACCGACAACACCGTGAACTGATTGCACCCATAACACGTAATTGTCACTTTAAATTTACAGAATAAATCGCAGGCGAGAATTATAAATATGTAAATAAAGTTACCTATTGATATTTCGATTTACAGTTGAATTTGGATAAAAAAAAAGTTAGAGCATGCACACAAGAGGGGACCTAAGGGATAATTTGAGAATGAACTAAAAAATATTGAAAGATTTTTGGTAGATGCTAGTGATTCAGAATAAATGTCTGTACTAGTATCACAAAGATGCTGCGTAAATGAAGACATATTAAGACCTATTTTTCAAAAATATAAAACACATTTAAGCATGCCAACTTAGCTAGAGTTTCACCGACAGCTGCCGCTAAAAAGTATTACCGTTTCTTCCTTATTGATTAAGAACGCAAAAAAAAAAATTTGCTCTTGCCAGTTTCAAAACAGGAATTGTTCATAAGGAGTATGAGAAAGAATTTTGACATGATTGTGAAAAAGTCTTACTTCAATTAACTAATACTCTACTAATATTCTTATACACATAGAATTCATGATCTTCTAACCCGGAAAATCGGATCACGAGTTATAGTTAAGGTTACACTGGGTTTCCATACGTGTTTGACAGATTCTCGATTTTGAGTTGTTTGACAGTGTTTGCTTGTGTAAACCCCTTTTCGGATCAGCGCTTCAACAACAGAGGAGTGGCATTACGTTTTACCGGCGAGGAGCCGTCCCTGTCGATATCATGTCAGCTAAAATCGTCGTTAACAATTGAACGAATTTCATCTCCAGCAAACACGCAGGCATTCACACATAGCGAGGTATTATCCAGGTGGCATAGGACCTGTAGTTAGCGCTTGATAAAGCAGCTCCTGCGAATTCCTCGAAATTGTATTTATTGAAGTATACGCTAATTGTATAATTGTACATCTATGTACTTTAAAGCTCTTTAGGGTGGTTTATGTTAGCTAGATAGGGCGCTATATAAAATGTTGTATTTTATTATTATGAACGAATTGATTACATAACTAAGCAGATTTTGCAGCGTATTAACGCGTGGAACATCAAGGATTGTGTTTTGCATGCGTGGATAATGTGACTCTGTTCCTGCGCGTGTTGGAATGTTGGACAACGTTTTCATTAGGTTTTTGTCTATTATAGCTGTAGAGCCATAAAAGGCCACTGCCACGTTGTACTGGACCTTTATTTGACGCCGGTTTATGAAGTTCCTTTATGTCACTAGAGTAGTTCCAAACATAATATTTCCAGAATCTGGCTCCGAATTAGAATGATATCTTTTATCTCCAGCAGCTCAACTAATACGTCTTAGGACAATGGGATTTGGAAGAGCTCATTCTCGGCAGATTTAAACGTTTGATTGAAGCCGATAATCAGTCTTAATGTCAGTGAATAAAGCAGTAAGAATTATGGATACTTAAAGTGTGTGGGTAAACCAAACAAAGGGTAAACAATTACAGGTTATACTCTTAAAACTATAAAATGAATCAAGCACGTGCACAATGACGTCTGTTTTAAAGAAAATTAACTGAATTATAATAACGAATTGATGATTTCAAAATATCGCAATTTGATGATTATTGCAAACATAGATAGCACATACACGCATACAAAAGATACGAATTGTTTATTTATAACGTTAACTTGTTAAATGGGTTCTGTACCTAGTTCACCCGTTGCCACTATAATGGAACTGGACAGATTGCTGTGCTGGGTGCCTTTTTTATTTCATCATATTTTATTGAGTAAACAATAGGATTGAACAGCAGGCTAGGCCTATATAAGTTCTCTCCTTAGGTTGACATGACAAAGACAAAGATGAATGAAATGGTTTGTAAGAAAATATTGATGCAAATCATATATAATAGGTAGCATAGACATATATAGCAGATGGTATAGGGGAGATAATTCCATGTATGTTTCAATTACATATAAATATTTAATTGATATTTTTAGCTATACAATGCTCATATTAAAAAGTCAGTCATAATTAATTAGTAATAGGAAAGCAATGCCCTAATGATATATTAAACAGAGAAATTGCTACAATTGTTTTTTTGTTTTTTGTTTTGCAAGTCATTAGTGCCCCCTGTTCATACCCTGCTGCTGTTGCATGAAGTAGTTAGAAGTATAGAACCATTTAGTATCAATATATATATCATTGGTAGGAGTGATAAAAAGTAAGGGATACAACAACATCAAAATATGAAAAAATAAAATGAGGCAATTCAGCTAGAAGATTTTGATAATGTAGTATATGTGTAAGATGTATTGCCAGTGTTCTATGTGTAAATCTTTCATCCCATCGAGTTTCAGACAAAAAGTCTCTAACGGCCTTTACCGTTCACATATCATCCACTCGAGAAGAATCCAGATTAAACCACAGAACACTAAGCATTCAAACTTAGCACATTTATGTTTTACTTTATTGCACCCATCAGTAAAAACAGCTTACAAAGCTTAATCCCTTAGGTGTATAATATTAAAACATCAATGTAAATATAACAATCAGTAGAATCACATAATGGTTTAAGGACAGTAATTTTATCATTTATGACTATATATAACAAAATTTATAGATTGTTTTAATTAGTTAAACAAGTCTTCTTGTGTTGTATATATATTTTAGAACACTATCAAGTATAGATTTATTTTCAGTATTGTTTAACACAGTGCTTCCATTAAGAAGTGTTTTAGTATCAAGATTAACCGGACACACTTCAAAAATCTCATTTATTAAAGTTTGTCTCTCATTAGTATACATTGGACATTGTGAAAGATAATGTGTAGCAGTTTCATAAGCATCACCACACAGACAAGATGGAGACTCTTTCAAGTGATCTTTGAATAGATCATAGTTCAGGTTACTCGCCTCATTTCTCAGTTGACATAGGATTATGTTATCCTTTCTGCTTTCACAATTTTTAAATACATCCGAGATATCATTATTACAACATATTTTATTATACACCTTGGCCTTAAATTTATTAAGAGTAGGGGAATGTACTATATCATTTTCAAGTCCATTGAACTTGTTGCACATTACTGGGAAGAAGCTTTTAGCATAGGATTCTGTACGACATAGTGGTGGGTTAAACATTCTTACATTTCTTAGAGTATACCTATCATTTTCTGGGTTATGAGTAAGAGGATCAATTATGTCATGGAGGTATGTGGGTGATAAATTGTTAGTTATTTTATACATCTGAGTTAGCTTATGGTTCATCCTTCGATCAGACAGGGATTCCCAACCTAGTTCTTTATATAGAGTTTGGTGTGATGTACCTTTCCTTAGACCTGTGATAATCCTTGCAGCTTCTAGTTGTACAGATTCTAATAAATTTTTAAGATTGTCAGAGCAGTTGTCCCAGACAATATCTGCATATTCAAGCACTGGGCGGATAAATGTTGTATATATTTTGCATAGTGATTTCCTATCAATCTTATATTTCAGATACCTAAGTATTGTTATTCTTTTACTAGCCTTTTCATATATTAATTGAACATGGGTAGACCAAGTGCCATCTTCAGAAAAAGTTAATCCAAGATGTTTGTGATCATGGGCATTATCTACACAAGTATTAGAGAAATTAATTAGAGGATGGATAGGTTCTTTTTTTCTAGAAAAAATTAATGATTTGGTTTTAGAGGGGTTAAATTTAATGTCCCATGTACTAGCCCAGTTGTTAATTCTATCTAGGTCTTGGTTAAGATAATCTGCTGCTAGTTGTGGGTTTTCGTCTACGATGACATATAATGATGTATCGTCTGCAAACAGCTTAATGTTACTCTGGACTATATCAGTGATGTCATTAATGTATAATAGAAATAAAAAAGGACCGAGAACTGATCCCTGAGGAACACCGGCATTAACAACCCTAAAAGTAGAAAAATGACCTTCAGATAGAACTCTCTGCTTTCTATCTTCAAGATAATTCTCAAACCAGTTAAAAACATTGCCCGATATACCATATGCTTTTAGTTTATGTAGTAACCCTTTGTGCCAAACTCTATCAAAGGCCTTGCTGATGTCGCAGAATACAAACCTTAGTTCTTTCCCTTTATCCAGGTTGCTAATTATGGTGTGGTATATAGAGAGAAGTTGGTTTACTGTTGAATCACCTGGTTTAAAACCTGATTGGTCCTTGGAAAGTATATTATTAGTTGTTAAATAGTTATATAAATATTTGAATATAATTTTTTCTAGGATTTTACTAAAACATGATGTTACAGATATTGGTCGATAATTGGAATAATTATTTTTTAAACCATTCCCTTTGTATACAGCACTAACATTAGCCATCTTCCATGGCCCAGGTATGCACCCGTTAGATATAGTTTTGTTAAATAAAATTGTAAGTGGGAGTATTAAGGAAGGTTTTAACTTTTTTATGACTTTAGGTAATATGCCATCAGGTCCTGCTGGTTTATTTTCATTTAATATAGTAATTTGATCATCAACATCTTGCTCAGAGATTATTATGTTTTCTAACTTTGATAGAGTGGAAATATCTAATACTGGAGGTTCAGCAAGTGTATCTGATGTTGTGGCTATAGAAGTAAAATAGTCATTAAGGGCTTCAGCTTTATCAGTTGGATGTTGAATCAGTGTATTATTAACATTCAATGGTGGAATCGGTTCAGTTTTATTGTTAAAATTAGTTATGGATTTAGCAATTTTCCACCATTTATTAGGGGGCAAAGATTTAGTACTTAGAGACTTTTGAAGTTTATCAAGATAATAATGTTTTGCATCTCTTACCTGATTAATAACAGCATTCCTTATTTGCTTATATTTATTCCAATGCTCTATTTTGTCAGTATGTCTGGCTTTCTTATGTATCCTATTTCTTTGTCTCATCTTTAGCCTAATATTGGTATTCATCCATGGCTTGTCATCAGGTCGGATTGTAATAGTTTTACTAGGAATATATTTTGTCATCAGGTCAGTAATAGATTTAGTTAAAAACATACTAAATTCTTGGGTATCCATATCAGCAGCAATTAAGTTCCAGTCAATAACATTTAGTTCGTCATTCATAATATTATAGTCAGTATTGTTATACATCCATACAGTCTTTTTGTATGCTTTATGTTTGAAGATAGCATAACAAACTTCCATATATATAGGGGAGTGGTCACTACAGAAAGCAGGGTCAACATGAGTATTTTTCACTATGGAAGGATTATTTGTAAAGACAACATCTATAGAGGTTGCACTATCAGGTGTCACTCTAGTAGGTTTATTAATAATACTTTTTAGGTTGAATTTAGTTAAGAGTCTAGATAAGTGAGAAGTGGGTGGGGTTCTTAGCATATCAACATTTAAGTCACCAGTAATTAGTATATCCATGGAAGTTTCACTAGCTTTATCAAGGATTTGTTCAAATTTACTCCAGTATTCTATATTAGAATCAGGTCTATATATACATCCAAGCAGAAATTTATGATTTTGGATTAAGACTTCTATCCAAATCATTTCTATATGTTCATTTTCAAGATCATGTCTACGTTTAGTAAGAATATTGTTTTTATGATAGATAATAACACCACCACCATGCCCTGTTGTCCTATCTTTTCTATGAATTTCATCTGAGAATGACTCTAATTTAATATCAGAATTTGGGATTAGAGGGTTAAGGTGTGATTCAGTTATACATATTATGTCACTATCATGTAGTTGTGCTTCAATAACATCTATTTTATTTCTTATGGATCTAACATTAAGATGAACTATTTCTACATTCTGGAGTGGACCTGGATTCAGTTCAACATCCATACATTTAATCAGCAGTGTTTGCAGAAGTATTTGTAGATATGAGTTATTGTTGAATATTTTAGAATAAATGTATATAAATTGAATAGAAATACTGCATGGCCAAGTCATATGCCCTCGTAAGATGGATGTCCTATTCACAACAGATGAAAAAAGAATTTTAACCATTATCGTAAACAGTCAGTTTAGTGGGACATCCACGCTTAATAAGGGTTCGGGCAATACAACTAGCAGCAAAGCATGAGCATGGGCAGGGACTTGCAATGTATAGATCGTTGCTTAAACATATAATAGCATCAATATTAACAACAAACACAACAAACAAACTAAAATACAAATACATAAGAGGCATAATTCACACTTACAAGTTACATGCATCGTGGAATCAACCGCTTTGAAAAATATATATATAATCATATTTACAAAACGCTTGTACAGCTTAGTATGTGTGCAATTAAACACAAGCACTTGAGTGAACACGAATACGGTACGCTTACTATTAGATGGTCTGGGCGATAGCTAATTATATGTTCCTAGACGGACATCCTCAGGTACAAAATATGCCAAAGTGCATCAAGGTAAAAACCAAACCGGTACAGCACTTAAATTACAGGGAATTAACAGTATGGTACTAGACACGTGTTGACATGTAGTCCACATGGATTATACATTTGGAACACTATTGCCTAAACATTACAGGTACGTGAAATAGTAGATAAGTATAAGGTCAGAGTAGGTTGACAAGATAATACAGAATTAAACAATGGTATTGAGATAGTAGCACTGGGTTATTATTGAGATTTTACCGTATTATGTGAACTGTATATGCTAGACACTATCCACTACGTATACTGGCCATGAATGTTCACCAAGCAAGCAAAAAAAATAAAAAAAAATAAAAATATTTTTTTTTAGAAAATATGGATCTATAAAAATATATATAATTCAATTAATGTTTTGACAGGTTATACTAGCTCAAACACAATAAAATTATTTAATGTACATCATTACACAGCAAATAGTTGTTGTACATGGGTGCCTTTGGCATGGTATTTCAGTGTGATACATTTGTAGCACTTTAAAATCGACTGTCGCAAGGAGGCAAACGCATCAACATACGCTGTCTCCGGCACACATACACACACTCACACATACACACACTCACACATACACACACTCACGCATACACTACACACATAGAGGCACGTCCTTAAATGGCCTTAGCTGTTAATAGACATTCCTCATTTTAAGGCAGACCTACCACGGAGACAGAGACGGACGACGAGAGTAGTAAAATCAGGGAACATCTCAAAATTAATTTTCATTTCATCTGTATTAAGGATTCCTGTCCCCTACTTGCGACAAAACATAAGAGAACGGTCTTTTAATGCTCCTTACCTACAGTAACATTCCCTGATTTTCATTACCTGTACAACTGATAAACTTCTCTTGGTCTACCTCACCTTACTGGGTTGTTTTTTCTGATTTTTTTTAAAACTATTATTATGGTTTATACTGAAAACAAATACTCGGTGCATGCTAGAGTTGATCGCAGTAGTATAGAAATCAGAAAATTCACTTTCGTGAAATGATGTCTGGGGTTTTTTCGAGTACGTTTTTATAATTTGATGATTAACCATTCTTAATAAACCTAATGGTCCTTTCCTGTACCTTTTCCATTTACTGGGTGTTTATCACATAACACAGTATGTGGAAAGTTGTTTAAGTTCATATGCTTGCAGTTTCCTAGCAACAAACCATGATTGGTGGGTGTCAAACCCTTTGACAATTCCATTAGTATTACTCGAACATGTTTGGGTTTTTGTATAATTTAATCATTTGATGGGCTTTCATGTTTGAAATTGTAGAAAAATAACTTATTATTTCGGCCATAGTTTTTCTTTTTTCTCTCCAGAGTATATGTTTTGAAAACCTGAATAACTTTTAAATAAATACACAATCGTTCACTTGATGTGTCACAACAAGCTGTCAACATTTTGGCTTTTAAACAACAAATATTATTTTTTTAACGGAAATTCTTTAAGTAAATGTTCAATGTCCCAGTCATATCATCAGGGTTTAGGTTTGGTTTTATTTTGTTTAACTTCCTATCAACAGCTAAGGTCATTTACGGACGTGCCTCTATGTATGTTGTGTATGCATGCGTGATCATATAACGTCATATAACGAGATAGGCTGTTACTATACAGCGGTTGTAACGAGATAAAAACAAATCCGCTACAAAATCTATTCTTGTTCTCTTCTTTTCCTCTGAAACCCCTAGATCACCTATAACAAGATACGATTTTCAAGTCCCTGTGTATGCAATCCATTCATTTTGGCCGATGTGTATTGAAGGGTCACTCAAGTAAGTTTTCTCTCAGGCTAATCTTGAAACATCACGTTGACATAACACACATACTTGTCACTATTCATAAAGACATGTATAGGGCTAGTTTTTGCGAGTGTGAGTAGGATTTACCGACACTGAATGTATTCCTCATGGCTTCTGCATCGTCATCTGATATTTGTCAGCCATGAATAATGATGATTATGGACATAGATGGCAGTACAGCATTTTGTGAGTATATTGTTTCCCTATAGAATAAAAAAGGTTACAACAGAATAAGTTAGTTGTTATGATGTTTGTGCATGCCTTCTGTTGTTTGTGTATGTTGTCTGTTGTTTGTGTATGTTTTCCATTGTGCTGTATTTGGTGCTTGTTTTGAATTCTTGGAGTGTTGTGCATCTATTGTGTAATGATGTTTGGAAGGAAATTCCATTTAGTGATAATGTTTGGAAGGAGATTCCATTAAGTGAAGATGTTTGGAAGGAGGTACCATTGAGTGATGATGTTTGAGAAGATTAGGTAATTGTATGAGTCGTTAGATGAGTTGATGTGTCTGTAATAAATGCAGTGTCCGTTTCGTGCTCCGGGGTCTACCTATGCTGTCATCTGCGAATAATCTAAGTGTGCTCAGTTTTTTGTATTCTGCAATTTATTGATGTGTTTGAGGGAGAGGCCTTGGTCCAAACAGGTTCCTTGGAGCACTCGATATGTTTAGGTAAATATGTTAACCTGCAAGTACTACCTGTTTTGGGTGCGTTGTTTTCGAAAGTCTGTGATCCAGATGAATCATAATGCATATACAACATTAATATGATAGTTTGTACTGTAAGCATTTGCAAGTGACCTTGTCAAAGTATTTGGGAAAATGGCGACACTTTTTCAGAGTTGGCGACACAATTTTTACCTACATTACAATGATTAAAATCGGTAATCTGTGGTCATGACTGCTGATTTAGCGACAAACACCAGCTGGGTACAGGGTAGAGGTAAACATTTTACAGGAAAGGTGACCGGAGGGCATAACCACTTATGCATCTGCTAATAATACACATGAAAAAAGGAACAATTATAATTATAATGGATTAGTTCTTGATAAATATTTTTATCTAAAAAATACAGTAAAAGTCGTGTGCGCGAAGGATATTGGCGACAGTCTGTTTGTTTGTTTGTTTGTTTGAGGTCCTATAAGAATAAGTTTTGTTTCACAGTATCTTGAGGACCAAAATCCGTACTGTAGGTCGTGTAGGTTTTGTTATCTTATATGTGATTCATGGTTGCGCTTGTGATTTATTCACATGAGATGCATGTGAGTGGTATAAGTCTGTACCTTGATACGTTTCATTGTCTCCATTTTAAATGGGGTTCACATTTGTATGTTTCCAGTTTTTTGTTAGTGATACTATGTCCAGTGATTTTGTGAGTATCTGAGTGTCAGTGCAGTGATGTCTGAGGTGTTTTAGTGTGTATTCTGTCACGTATTTGATCCGGTCCAGTCGCTTTGTGCGAGTGTGTGTTGTTCAGTACTTTGATACCTCTTTATATGTTATGTGTATGTGTAGCAAGGGTGGGTCGAGTGATATACCTTAGTCTGGTATTATTATGTTATTTTTTTTCTATTGTGAAGTCTTCCTGGATTTGTTCTTTAAATATGTTAACTTTTGTCTTAGGATATATTATAAGTTTGGTCTTTCTTTCGTATGGTTGTGATATCTGTTTTCTTTTGATTGGTTTTATTAAAATGAGAAGAGTTTTTCTCAATCAATTCTACAGGGAATGGCAAGATGACATGAAACAAAATCACTTTCATTTTAAGGAGCTGATTCCAATCACAGTGGCGCTAAAAGTTTTGGGAAGTCTGCCAACAAATAAGTCAGACCTGCTCTTTTCGGACAATCAAACAGTAGTATCTATTATAAACAAACAGACATCTCCCAACCCTGACATGATGGTGTTAGTGCGTAGGCTAGTCATAGGTGCTCTGTAATTCAACATACGTTTCCATGCAAAACATATTCCGGGTAAAGAAAATGTCCTGGCTGATTACCTGTCTCGTTCGCAGGTCCCATAGTTTCGTGTGGCGGCTCCGCATATGGACAAGCGGATTCAACTTGTTGTGTTTGAAGTGATAATGTCACCGGGGTGGTATTGTAGTGCCCTTTAAACGAGTCAAAAACTATATCAAGCCGTGAAGGATAACGTTTTCCCTGTCGGAAGAACCGTAAATTAGGTATTTTGAGAATGTTCTGGGGCTATTTCCCCAATTTGAAGAAATGCATGAAATGCGAGTAGAAACATTGACTTAAACAACAGGTTGTCATAATGTGAAGTGCATATTTTGTCCAATGCTAGTAGCAGCTGGTGTAGGATTGGCTTAGTAATGGGTTTTCGGAAATCTGGTTTATTACCCAATTTTTGTAAACCTACCAACATTTTTCGAACTATGAAAAATTGATTGGATCTGTGTAACCACAAAGCTTATGCACATATGATATGGCTGACCTATAGCTGGTAATAGTAGAAGGTGCAAGGTGTTGTTCAGACAAATGAGCAATAAACATGACTAAGGTATTCACGTCTATGGGCAGACAGCACTCCGTATGCAGAACTGATTGGATAAAATGTGACAATGATACAAAAACTCTATGGTTCATCTGTTGTGAGCTAGGTGTTAACGCTAGAATTGACAAGCTGTAGAACTTAGATTTTCTAAATATGTAACAGATTGTCTGCCAGTTGTGTAGGGAGCTTGTCCATATGCGGAGCCGCCACACGAAACTATGGGACCTGCAAACGAGACAGGTAATCAGAGAGGACATTTTCTTTACCCGGAATATGTTTTGCATGGAAACGTATGTTGAATTGCAGAGCACCTATGACTAGCCTACGCAATAGCACCATCATGTCAGGGTTGGGAGATGTCTGTTATTTTATGATAGATACTACTGTTTGATTGTCCGAAAAGAACAGTTCTGACTTATTTGTTAGCAGACTTCCCAAAACTTTTAGCGCCACTGTGATTGGAAACAGCTCCTTAACATTAATGTGATATTGTTTCATGTCATCTTGCCATTCCCTATATAACCAGTGACATCCAAGTATAGCACCAAACCCACCATTACTTGCATCTGTGAACATAGTTTTTCTGAAGTTTCCAAGAGATTGGGTAAAAACATGATTGAATTGTTAAAGGTTTTGATAAATATCTGCCAAACCTCTAAATCAGCATTAGCTACTTTGTTCAACCTGATATGATGGTGAGGATTTGACAGCCCTCTTGTTCAATTTCAATACATTTTATTGTCAAAGGACAAATGGATTGGGCAGCAGGCATAGCCTATTTAAGCCCTTTCCAAACATAGTAACAGACAGTGGTACAAGCATAGACATAGACATTAGAACACATATAAACACATATAAACAAGTTGGTATTATCAAATTAATAATTAAATTAGGGGAAACAGCTACTAATACTCTTGTTAAATCAATCAGTCGCCTTAACCAGGTCCTCCCCGGAACCACAACCCGACAACAAAAGTTTAAAAGACCGACTCAAGACTGGGGTTCTTTAAGGGTAACCTTTTGCCTTTGTTAAAATTCTGACAAAGCTGCAGATCTCTTTTCCACCTTGTCTCTTGGCAATCTAGCCACCATGTCCTGTGTGTCGAGTTCTATACCCAAAAAGGTAAGGCATTTGGTAGGTGTGACTGTTTTTCCTTCTTGATAGGGACCCCCACCAGCTAACACTGGGCACTGGTTAGTACTAGCTGGGCCAATAAACAAAAGATCATCCAGCACGTGAACGACCCATGGAGCTTGAAAATAAGTTTGCATAACCCAGAGTGGAGGGCTGAGCTGACCTTTTCGAAGAGCTGACAAGAAATTGAACATCAAATAGGTAGACACCTATCATAATAATTGGAATCCCCTACCAACGGTCGCACAGATACAATTCTGAAGGCAGCTCCTAAATCTGTTTTTGATAATAATGTTCCCCTGCCAAACATATTTAACTGAAAAATTGCATCATCCAAAGTTTCATAATGAACTGTTTTGTCCTTATCACTTATGCAGTCATTGATAGAGGTCCCTTCGGGAAAAGATAAGTGATGAATGAGTCTATATTCGCCTGGTTCTTTTGTGGGAACCAAATTCAGGGGAGAAATTTGTAAAGTTGTGAATGGCTTGACAGAAAAGGGGCCTGTGATCCGATTCAAGGCTATTTCTTGAGAGAAAAAAAATTGTAACAACACCTCAGGGTTTCTTGTAGCTGAAAATAAAGTTTGCCTTAATCTGAATGAACGAACACCATGAAATTGTAATGAAAAACCTTCCAAAAACCCTGCTTGTAAAAATTGAAAAGAATCCCTATCATAGCTAGTCTGTCAAATTTAATAGGCGTTATACTTGAAATGTTGTTAGTTGATTTTAGGTTTACGTGCGGAGGAGGGTTTTGAGCCGCCACTGGAGGGAATCTGTGTGTGGTTGTCTGTTTTCGAACATTTCCGAAAGGAATGAGGACCCCCACAGGATTTGCTAAGGTGTTTGAACACACAGTGTTGGCAATTACATACGCCTTTTCTTTGAAAGGCAAAGCAATCTTTGCCCTGTGTTGATTTGCCCTGGGCATGCCCCGGAGGATTAGTGTGGGCATTCTGTCTAGGCTGACCTTTTCGAGCCAAGTTATAGCTCTTGGTTAACCTGGTCAAAAGGCAGTTGGTGTGGAGCCGCTTGTCTCCATTTACGAAAATTAACATCATAATGGTTAGCAGAAAGGCCCAGCTAATTCCGGCTTGGCCAGGACAACCACAGTTACAAATACCTGAAACTCTGTTTCGTTTTCGGAATTAAACCCAGGGTATTGTCAGTTACTGTTACTGTATGTTTAACTGCTGTGAACCATTGGTTGAAAAAAGGGAGCCAAAATCTACATATTGATCCGCCCAAATGTTTTGTTTAGTGCGGGTGTCCACATGCATATTAAGGGGCGGGAGACGCTAGACATTATAGGTGTACCTATGTCATGAGTTGTGTTATGTTAGTCATGGCTTGCTCCACCAAAAAGGAGGTGCCAGCAAGCCGTTTTCATATTATTTAACCCGTTCGAAATGAACGTAGCCTACACCTTTGACAATATCACCGATATGTACCTATCACCACACAGCCCGTCTATAGACGGGCACCAATCACCACACAGCCCGCCTATACACGGGCACCTATCACCACACAGCATTTGACAAACCATATCATGCAACACTAATATGTATTATACACGTTACGATTACTGGTACGTTACTGATACCCACACCGCTCACGTTTTGCTGCAGTGTAATGCAAACGACAACATAAATAAATCAAGCTTAAAACGACATTGGTGTCCTCCTTTGACTCTGAAAAACCTTAACTCTATTTCTTTTTACAATATGACTGCGTTAGTATTCGTCAGGTAGGTACACTATCTTAATGAACTGACTTGTGACGGCTTTGTGTTATAATTTGTATGCACTTCCATTATCAACCTGTATCTGTATAGAACTGCACTTCACGTCATAGCACAAGGACATTGACACTGTGCCTTGTTAAAGGTGATCGATTTGGATATAACGCTCAGTAATTATCACGTAAAGTCCTTTTAAACTTGACACTACAGATGTTTTTTTCCCACAGTCTTTTGTTCGTGTCTTATATGTATTTCTAGCTTTGAATTATTTGTCTGCAATTTATTGATTGACCACTTTTACATATATGCTATTTTGATTGAAAATTGTGACCAACTCATCATGGTGAAAATGTTCAATGCTAAAAGCAATCCTTCGTTTGACGTTACCGGTTTTATCTATCGATTCAATAGCCCTATTTTCTACAAATTGATATGCAATTCAACTTATGTATTATAAATTCATATATTGAATATGTTCAACATATAAGAGATCAATTTGTTATAACTAACTGGGCATAGATTAGAAAAAAACACTGAGTCATCATTTGTATGCCAACTCGTGGAGCATCCCATGACAATAGGTATAGTTTGAGTTGTAATCTATATTTTGATATTGCGAGTTAAGACAATTTAAATTTTGAGACGCTTGCCTAGCCGGTCACAATAACGAAGCCTATCAACGATCAAGTATCCGGAAGATAAGTTACGGCAGTGTTCAAAAGTAGTCACACAACCTAAGGCCAGAAAAGGGGGTATTTCGATAACAATCTCCTGGTTGTACAAAAAGTTCAAGTAAAAATCTTACTTGTAAAGCCGGTTTTCTGTTCACTGAATCATAATAGTTTAACGAGATAAAAACAAATTAGCAAGAATAATGTTGCAGTAACATTGTACAGAGTACAGTGATGTGGACCACAGGTTACTGGAACAATATATACTGACCACATTGAATATCATTATTTCATTTATGTGTAAAGGTTATCCCAGAAAACATGCTATTTACACTGTACAATATTTCTTCTACTGTCACGATAATATTTCTGTTACACGAATTTAGCAACAATCTCTTACAATACAAATGTATGAGTATTATGCTTAACCAAAACCACTATTTACTACAACCTTAGGTTCATGTAAAAATGTTAATTGCAATGTATTTCAGTCATCAAAGAGCAAATAGGTGTGGCATTTCAGTGAACTTGGTATATTTCTATGTTATGTAAATAACTTAATCGGTTTTTCTATTATATATTGCATTTTTCTATAATTCAGCATTTTCAGGTTTTTGAGACACAAGGTCAGTATGATGAATACTGCGACAGACGATGCCTCAGTACGCGACAGTGTGAGAGACTATTATGGGAAGAGACTGAAGACAGTGGATGACCTTCAGACTCAGGCATGTGTGGCCCCTGGAAGAAAGGTTTCTAAATCGTTAAAAGAAGCCATAGACCTTGTTCACGAAGTTGTCTCTTCGAAGTAAGTTAAGTGAAATCAGGTTAAATTTGACGGGTGGGAAAAATAATGCGTTTTGTTAGGTAGATAAACTATGTGGTTTAAAATATACAATTACGTGAAGCGCGGTATCTTATGCAGATGACATTATATCTATTTACCTCACCGTGGATGGACTATCTGTATGGCTCGACGGTGGTTGAGATCTTGTGTTACATGTACCTATAACGACCTTTTTTTTCATAAGACGTCTACTGAATACCAACGGCTGCAAATTTAAAGGAAATGTAATAGCATAGTATACAAAAAAAAAAAATGCTTAATTTGATATATACTGAAAGGATAAAGAAACGCAGGGTTAACATTTGAGGTGATTTAATGGCATGTATTTGAATGTTATATACAATATTTCGTATAAGTATTAAAAACAACATCTTTAATAAACACATTACCAAGAGACCAATAAATCATGAGTAATTGAAGCACATTTGACGGTACCCCCAAATATTGCAAAGTAAAATCGACTGACTCGTCCCCCCGTCCCCCCGATGTGTAAACCTCAAGGGTATGAAGTAGTATGACAAGATGTGTTGACGAAAGTGTCATCATTATTCTACACATGTTTGTTGCATTTTAACACTTTCTCTATGTGACACGGTACATTACACGGTTGAGTAACTTAACTGAAGGCAGCGGTTCGAGTGCAATACCAAATACTCGTCGGACCGGTTAATATAATTTTACGTAATTTTAACATGAATTTAGTAATTTTTGCATATTTTGTTATCCTGCGTTTCTTTATCTTTAAAAATTCTCAGCCTTGGTAGTTCCCGTCGTTAAGGTGTTGTCAAGGGAAAACCGACTAATTATCAGCGTGATATATAAAAAGACAGTATATGTATTTTGATAATTATATAGTGTTTTACAAATCAAGCTATTATGCCTCATCCAAGTGCCACTATTTAAGTTTAGGAGAAAATAGTTATTTTTCATATCAATTAAGAAATCATTATCATATTGATGTCATATACGTGACAATATTTGGTCCGTGGCCAGGTACTATGGATGTGGGCTTGTAATCCCAGAGAAGCTTGAAGGGATGAAGATTTTGGACCTTGGGAGCGGCAGTGGTCGTGATTGTTTTGCACTCAGTAAGCTGGTTGGTCCTACAGGTCATGTGACAGGAATCGACATGACAGATGAACAGGTACTGTCGCCACAGACATAATGGGGTTCAGCTATATAGTCTGTCAGCGTGATGGCCAGGAAGTACCAAGGAATGTAGCATGTTATCATGCAGGTTGTGCATATACTAGAAGAAATTATTGGGTCTTTTGATATGGTCTTTAATTTCTTAAGTTTTAGCTCGTTTGCCTGTGAACTCATGCAATAATGAGGTATCAGTCATTTGTCTGTCTTAGATTGTTCAAATCACACTTGACGTTAATATGGATGCAAGATTTTAACATTTGTTCCCTTTTTCAAGTCTGAAATATTCAAAGAGTTGGTGTATCAAATTCAGGATGACAAAGAGAGGAAGTCTTCATAAGATTTCTAAGGTATTAATAACTGTATTGCTCAGGGGTGCAATTTTTGCAAAGAATTATAATAGTACAGAGCTTTGAAATGTTACACGTGTTACTGTGTTGAATTTGTATGCAATTCCTTAAATCCATACGTAAGTTTGCATGCATGAAGAACTTTCAAATTCACTCAGCTCAATAACATTGACAAAGTCACAGAGATAGAAATATGTTAAAATCTTTAAACGACCCTTTTTTCAAGATTAATTAGGCATAGAACAAAGATATTTCGATTGTAACATGTTAGGATGAGGAGTTGTTACTTGATACAGATAAATAACGTTTGTGCATTATAAAGGTTCAAAGGTCGAATGTGATGAAACGTTAACCGTTTTTTCTTATGAACCAAAAACTGTACAGCTTTTGCTGAGGTAAAATTACTTTCACTTTAAATCATCAGATTTACGGTCATTAAATATCCTAACAATGCCTGCAGCATCGATATTTGGAAAGTAGTGAAGGTGGGAAAAGTCTTGCTTGTATATACATGTATGTTTTTTCAAATTAATGCTTAAACCCAATAATGACCAATGTCATCTCTAAACTTGCTGATTTTCAGTCTTTTATTTTTGATGGCAGCTTGATGTAGCCCGAGAGTACATAGAATATCATACAGAGAAGTTCGGCTATAAGGAACCGAACATTGACTTTGTAAAGGGTTACATAGAGAAGCTAACAGATGCAGGACTGCCATCAGACCACTATGACATCATCGTGTGAGTGAATTGCATCACTATTTGAGAAAACATTATATCACCGTTTTTCCACTTTTACATTCAAAATGTTGGGATCAGTTCATTTTAACTGGCAACTATACTATATCTTTTTCGTATTTACCCCTTTGTGATAGAAATTTGGCTAGCACCTCCTAGTCAGATATTGCTGAACAAAATGGAACACTTTGGTTGTTGGTATAACGTAATGGTGAAATGATTATTGATATATATTGTGTAGTATTCATTATATTAATAGAGGGTTAAATAGCAAATATAAACAGAAAATTAAGTTTATTACTCTTTGCTTTGAAATGGCAATGCGTGCTGCTGTTATAATGTTAGTTGTTAGCTATCTTAAAACAAATATAGTTTCATTGGCGTTTATCTGCACTTTTGCAGCACATAATGTGTTACTATTGGGCTTATGTGTATTATTAGTGTTTATTGGTTATTCCAGCTCCAATTGTACGGTGAACCTGTCCACCGACAAGAAGGCTGTCCTGCAGGAGTCCTACAATGTCCTCAAGGTAATGAAGTAACACGATGATGGCTTTACATGTGATGTGCAGTGGCCAGTCTTTAATTGGGACAAAACACCTGGTGAAGTAGGATATAAAGATAATGGAAAATTACACATTATTATGTTGCGTTGAAGTACTGCTATTGCATACACTTATGTATACAAGCATTTAAAACGATTTTGGGTGGTCGGGTGGCGTGAAAAGGTATGGGGTCACCTGTCCGACCACGTGCGTTTTCTCCTGGTCATTCGGTTAACCCAAACAGTAATACCCTCGCGCGCTAACATCTGGGCCAACAAGAGTGATTAGTATAAGTTGTATAAACTTGTTTCCTTATTGCTGTAAAATATAAAAAGATTATATAGAATAAAATAATATTATTTTATTCTATATTTTTCTTCGCAAAGACCTGTTTATTTATTATCTACTAAAGATTATGTATCTATATTTAAAAATTATTCCCTTCATTCTGGATTCATATTTGTTTAAACGTACGAATAATAATTATATGTATATTATATGGTTAATGTCTTGATTTTTGTTTTGTTATGTAATATTTACCTTTTTTACATTCCTGCTTTATGAGATGAACCCAGTTACAATGTCTATACCGAGTGAAATCCGACTGGTTAGAAAATAACGGTTGTGTTTATTTTCTTTCTTTCAAATCTTACAATAATGAAATAACATTTTCTTCTAACTTAAAATAAAAAATGATTTAGAAGAAATGTTTACAAAAGTCTAGCATACACGAGCCAAACCCCAGTTTCTCCTAAGTCTACGTATGTAAGATTATAAGACTATTTTATGTCAAGTGGTATAGGATAGGGAAAGTCCACCCGAGGGTTTTTTAAATTCGGTAAAACTCGAATTACAAAAATAAGCTCAGATACCATGAAAATGCGTTAGGACTGGCTACGATTTTGAAAAAAAGCCCTCCAAGACGTCATTAGAATCACTGTGACAATCTTCCTCGGCAAGCGACACTACCTCAGAAACATAGTTATTACAAACAGGCATGCCCTGAAGGTCTTGCATTGATCTATTTTAAGCATCTCGTATATCCGTTACCTTCAAAGTTTGTCATTGTTAAAATTCATTTAACGGCCTTGAGAGCATGCAATCCTAAATATCATTCCTCGGCAAGCGACACTACCTCAGAAACATAGTTATTACAAACAGGCATGCCCTGAAGGTCTTGCATTGATCTATTTTAAGTAATACTTTATGTAGACCGTACCCTTTTCTGCTCTTTTCAAGTATGGCCGTGGATGTTTGCATACCTTATCTACGTTTTTGTTCTAAATTAAGTGTTGTGTTTGCATTGTGTGTATCGTGTGTTTAGGAAAACTTCGGTTAAGAGGTTGGAGAACAGTATTAATCATTAATGTATGTGAGTATGGATAGTCTACACCTCTGGTGCAGAATTTGGTATCAGAACCGAGTCTCTAAGGTTTGCTCTATTAGTATTTCACAATTTGTAAACTAATGTTATGCTCTTTCAAATGGTATATTATGTTGAATCAAATAAGGCATATTGACGTCACTATTTGTCATAGCTATCTACCTTGACGTACAGCTTGTTTCAATCTCGGTTTACTATGAAAAGATTACTTAACGTTATAGTCAAGGCAATATCTAAATGTATATGATTTCAGGAAGGTGGGGAACTTTTCTTCAGCGATATCTACGCGGATCGAACTTTGGAAGAGTCAATACGCAAACACAAAGTATTATGGGGTATGTGCATGCTACTTATAGACAATATGGATCATATATTATAATTATGATACAATGCATGTCATTAATTATCAACGAAACTATGAAGTGTTAAGTTCTATATCTTTATAATCCTCCTGAAAATGTTGTAAATGTTTAATTATTTCCCATTTTGCCCTGGATACATATGATAATATTGATGGAATGAAAAACGTAAAATAAAAACCTGCGTCATACAATTATAAGACATGGTTAACAGAAAAGTACCTCTTTTAATGTTGCCAAAATGAAGTTTCCCCTCAAGTTATAAATGCGACAATAGTATAACAATTCTGATCTTATATTAGGATTCCAACTTTGTAAGGATATAAATGACATTTCGTTTGGCAAATCCCTATATTTCCTTTGAAGATTCAATTTAAAGCTTAATGTGTCGTCATGTTTGATTGTCACACAACACGGGTTAGCTCACCAACAATGTGTGTCGAAAGTAAACGTGAATGTTAATAAACTTTCAAAGTACAAAAGCCTTATGTAGAAGGTCTACAAGCATAAGATTAATACAGAAAATAAAGGTTACCTCTTAGAAAAATTATATCCTCGGATTTCCAACTGTTTTGCCCCTATCAATACAGATTGGTCCTAGAAAGACGACACAGTAGTGTGATGCAGTGTATTCATTTTTAGCGTACTGTATCTATCACCAAATGTTGTCATTCGGAATACCCTTTCGTCATTTTCTACGAAACTGAGGTAGCAAAGGCGAGGTGTTCCGAATGCAAATGTTGTAGGTGCCAATACTTATGTTCATCTTTCCTATTCCATCTTTGCGTAATGCAGAGTTATCTTCTCTTGGGAGCAGGTATTGATTGTTACGTCATTTGTTTGTGAGAGTAACGTCATCAATTTTTGAGAAAACGACGTGATTTTCTCACACAAACCAATGACGTAACAATCAATACCTGCCCCCAAGAGAAGATAACTCTGCAATACGCAAAGACGGAATATACGATAAAAATGATCAGAGAGTAGTGGGGTTAGACTGTTTCAAACAAGGTGGGTAAGCTTGTAGAAAAGTACCGATGGAAAAGTCTTTACAGAAACTTAGGGGCTGGTGACCAGCCTATAGTGCCGTTGATAGCGACTGACCGGCTGAGACACGATGTAGTCTTAGAAATGCACATGTATTATAACAAATATGTGTAATGGTATAAAAATTGGGCAAAAAAAGAGTGCATTATCTTCCATCTTTAATGCCTTAATGTTGGCAAAAGCATCTCGTATATCCGATACCTTCAAAGTTTGTCATTGTTAAAATTCATTTAACGGCCTTGAGAGCATGCAATCCTGAATATCATTACTTCATACTCTTTTCATCTTTGTTGAATGATTATAAATATTACTAAAATTGGTCAATGTTTGATAAATATTGTCGAAAATTGCCCATTATTGTTAAAAAACTGACAATAGCCAAAATGATAGCTAGACATATTTTGTTGAATGGTTATTGGAAGCAAATAAGCTTAATTTGTTATGTCATTACCATTAAAAAAAGGTGAACGATACCGGTGACCCTCTTCATTCCATTTTTCAAACAAGAAAATTGGAATAAAAAGTTTATTATAATTGCGAAAGACTCTGTCATAAGGTGATTCGTACATGTGATGTTAAATAAACTCTATGTATTCCCTAACAGGTGAGGGCTTTGGTGGAGCTCTATGGTGGAAGAAGCTACATGACCTGGCTAGTGAGACTGGCTTTAGCAAGCCTTACATGGTCAGCACATCACCTATCCCCGTCGACCGGGAGGACTTCAAGGCAATCGTAGGTCAGTACTGTTTTAGGAGACAACCGGTCAACAATACTGGAAAGTGACCAACTACGGCTGTTACGGCACGATTTCTTACCCCGACACGATTTCTCACCCGGGTGAAACATCGTGCTAAAAGTGTTGCGGTCACAAATCGATTTCTCACCCTAACACGATTTCTCACCCGGGTGAGAAATCCTGCAAAACATATGGGCATAGGTGACACGTTTTCTCACCCGTCATGATTTCTCACCCCTACTCTCAATTAGGGATGAATTTTGTCCGTGGTGTCTCAAAACTTGCCTTAGTGTACATGTAATATATGAGCTGACATGATTTCAAATTAGTAGTAGTTCAATGTACAACATGCCTTATATTTATTGATTGATTTATCCATCAAACTATTTATTCATATCTTATTATATCATTTATTGCTTTTTACCGGAAGTCGATATAAACCCCTAAAACATATAAACATTACATTTTATGACTACTTGTTTCTATGCTATGTTTTGGACTACATTTTCAGGGTTTTGTTCATATAAACAAATGCACTTCAGGTCTTCATAGCATATGCAGTTGTTTTTTGTTATATAATGTTGTTTGAAACGTTTAACATATCAGACCACAGTTACCTTAAAAGTAAGTCAAGTGTGCTGCAACCGTTCAAGGTATCTGCTGGTCAAATATTAAGACTACCTGGCACAGGTGGTACATACATATATTTGATAGACTACTGACGTATGATACCACAGCATAGCATTACAGACACTTCGAGGCAGGAGAGTAAAAATATTTGATAAACAATAAAATAAAGTAACTTGTAACTAAAAAGACCACAACAGGATTAGAGAAGAGACAGATAAACAAACCAGTGTTCAAAAATTACTGAGACTGTGATAGGTGTTGCAGAAAATTAACGGATTTTACATCATAGTATGTAATACTTTTCGTAATGTCTGTCACCTTGTTGAAGGTCACCAGCTTTCTAAACTCAGGTGAATATGTTTTAAATTATGTATGCACTGGAATGCTTTAGGTGCAAATCAGATGCAAACAAAATCCGATACTCTTTGTTATTTTTCAATCATACAATATGTATTTTGTTCACATAGATTCAGTGAGGCGCGAACCGGTTGACATTTACGGTGACCCGTTAGAGCTGTAATATGAAACGATTTATCAATGAATGCCGCTTTATTGTCATGCTGGATTTGTCAGCTGCATTTGACGTTATCGACAATGGCATACTTTATAAATGTCTTGAGTACTATTATGGAGTGTTTGATACCGACTTTGGTGGATACAGTCTTATCCGAATTAACGACGACAGTGTGTTGCCATCAGATGTACCATATCACAAGAACAAGTACTAGATTTCAGGGTTACGCAAGGGTCGGTGTTAGGACCACGAAAATGTTGTCTGTACTCCAATCCGAACGGAGAGATTTGTCGTCGCCATAGCCTTCGCTATCATTGCTATGCTGATGAGACACGCATTTGCATGGTCATCAAACCACAGGGCAGTTGGGATACAATTACAGAAATTCTGAAAGCTTGTCTGACAGATATCAGTACCTGGAGGAACGCAAACATTCTAAAGCTTAATCCGGAAAAGACGAATCTAATCGTCTTTTCCCCAAAGTGTCAGCATACAATGGCTCTCCAGGTCAAGGTAGGGGCCAGAACTATTGAGACTGTCCGAGCTGTTAAAAACCTAGGGGTATACTTTGCTAGTTCACTGAACATGGAGAAACAAGTGGACGCTATTGCCAAATCCTGTTACTACCAGATCAGGAACATCGGCTGTATCCGTCAGTTTATAACTGCAAATGCATGCAATATGTTGGTGCATTCACTTGTTACATCGCAGTTGGCTTATGGTAACGCCCTGCTCTGTGGTATATCTGACAAACAAACTAGTCGTCTGAAGAGGGTCAGGAACACTGAAGCACGGCGGGTTACTCGTACTCGAAAGTTAGAGCACACCTGTGCTGTATTCATTGCACTGGTTACCTGTACGATACAGGTCACTGGACACATTTTTGTGTACACATACAAGGACATACAAGAACAACTCCCCAGTACCTACATGAGCTTGTTATCCTGTATCAGCCGTCACGATCACTGCGGTCGGAATCAGAATCATTGTTGTGTGTCCCAAAATCTCGTACTTTGACCTATGAAAACCGGTGCTTTAGGAAGGTTTCGGCCACGTTGTGGAATAGCTTTCCATCTGCTATTAGAAAGTCAAATACCCTGGAAAATTCAAGATAGACATCAAAACTCACGTCTTCATGTCTGCATTTTTGGCTCTTTGCAAAGACGTCATATAAATACCCCTCTTTGTGTATTCATTTATGTGCACATCGCGATAATTATCTGCTTGCTTAATATATAAAAGTGATAGTAAGCCTTTGTTTTTTGTTTCACAATTATAACTAATTATATATAATACTATTATCCATATGGTGTAAAGCGCTTTAGAGTAATTTTACAAATTAAATAGGGCGTTATATAAATGTTGTATATCATTTATTGTTATTATTATTAGAGAATTAACACATATGCTACCACTTCTTGTGATGGCAGTACCTGTTTTTATCTATTTATCTATTATTCATATACTTTTCATTCCCCTAAATATCCTAAACATAGAGACGTTTTCTAAAGACATTTTGCGCGAGATGTACCGTATATAAAATAATATGCAAGTCATATCTAACAAAGGACACCTTTCTTTGGCCAAAGGAACAAAGGACACGATTTTTTACACAACATGAACTTACTAAAGCAGATGTGAAATCATTGCTCTGGAAGGGTACATACATTTCCTTTTTTTATTATAAAGTATAACAATATATACTCGTAAGAGGAACCGTTACACCATAAGGTGCCGAAGCTAACCAAGTAGTCGCTAGTGATGGATCAGAAAATGATCGCAATGCCATAATACTAGGGTTGTCAAACCGGTCTTATTTTTTGTAACCGGTTACTTTTCTACCAATCGAGCGACCGGTTAATCGGTCAATTTGGTAGTCAAATAATAAACAGCAGCGAATACAGTATATGTTTGGAAAATGTTCTGTCTAAAACGTATTTACACCACAATCATACATTTATATATATATACCAGCAGGATAGTTTACTCGTGTATTGCAAGGTTTACACAGGAAATAGTTGCATGTAACCTCAGTAATTATATGTCATGGACAACGAATGTCGGAATGCAGTAAGACGGATTCAATTACAGTTATCTGTACTCGAAACCATATGCGGTAATATTAAATCTTTAGAACAAAATGTGCTTGACAAACATCTCGCATGTAAAGGCGCGTTCTATCTCAGAAAGTTGGTATTTCACAACTTTGTATTCTGGCTTCCTTTTAAAATCTGTTCAGATTTGTTATGGTGTTGGCGACATCTCTTTGTCAGTATTTAAATTAGAGTACAAAATGAACACTTACATGTAATCCCTGAACACTGTTTATAATACAAAACTTTATCAATTTTGGTCGCATCTATACAAATGCAGATTGTTTGTAGGTCTAAGCCAGGGAAATATGGGGGTCACAAAAGGGGTAAGTAAATGTCCGACTATTCGGTAAAGGATTTTGGTAACCGGTTCGTGGTCTTTCGCCCGAGTAACCGGTTTACCGGCTAACCGTTGACAACCCTACATAATACATCTACATACATAACTGTACCAAATCTATAACATCGGTTAATATATAAATGTCGACCAATCAGGACCCGACCTAATACGGACACATTGTCAAATAAAAAAAAATCAACGCAGATCGCAGTAGTGTTCGTAATGACACTGCACACTTTTACATAGGGATTTTGGACAATGCATACATTTCGACTAATCAGAAGCCAGTCTGCAGCAGCCGTTCTGAGGAAGATGTTGGCCTTTTCCCCATCTTCAAGAACACGATTAAAATATTCAATTAAACAACTTTTATTGTGGTCCATCCATCAGAACAGAAATTATTATAGACTGAAATGACTCAGCAAATGATAGGCCATGCTTTAGATCTGTTCGGAAACTTAACATCGAATATCATCAGTAACTTCATGTATTATGTAAAAGAGTGGATTAATTAGGTTGCCTAACAAGCGTCAGCTGTAGGGAAATTCCATTTAGCTTAGCGTTAGAGCATCGGGTTGGAGAGCCAAGGGTCGCGGGTTCGAGCCCCAGCGACGGCACTATCTTTATCACTTTTCCTCGTCCTCCTACAAATTGATGTCGTTGACCCTACCCGTTCTTGGTAGGAGAACCCTTGGCGGGGAGTCAAAGAACCTTGGTTGGTGTTTGACAAAAGGGGGGATAGTTTTGGTTTAATATTGTTTAACGTCCTATCGACAGCTATGGTAATTTAAGGACGGCCTCCCATATATGCAAGATGCATGAGAGTGGATTAATTAGATTGCCTTACAAGGTTCAGCTGTAGGGAATTTCCCTTTAGCTTAGCGGTAGAGCATCGGGCTGGAGCGCCAAGTGTCGCGGGTTCGAGCCCCAGCCAAGGCACTAACTTTATCACTTTTTCAACTATATGTAATTGCAGTTCTCCTCTATTATTATGATACTTGTATCACTCCAATGGTACAGAAGAAAAAGTATTTTAAAGAATTAAAACTCAAATTCCCGCATTGAGCACCACACAACTCTGTACTCAAAGGGGCCACATCCATCATCTATATAAAATTAAGACCCCTTTGCCTAAGGATACTCTAGGCCAAATTCGGATAAAATCCCTCAAATGGTACATTAGGAGAAGGATTTTAAAGATTAAAACCTCAATTTCCTTTTGAGCCCCGCCCCTCTGCAACCAAAGGGGCCACACCCACCGTTTATACAGGATCAAGTCTTTTTTGCCTAAGGATGCTCCGGACCATATAAGGATAAAAAAAACCTCATCCCTATGGACGAAGCAGGGTTTTAAAGATTTTACCTCTATTTCCCCTATTGGGTCCCGCCCCTCTTAACCAAGGGGGTCCAAACCCACAATTTTAACAAGATTAAGTCCCATTGACCCAAGGATGCTCCAGAAAAAAATGAGTCAAAACCTACTTGGTCGTTCAAGACGAGTGGCATTTTAAAGGAAAAGTGGACGGACGGACGGACGACGGACGCTGCGGTATGGCATAAGCTCACAATGGTCCTTCGAACCGGTGAGCTAACAATTGAAGTTCGAACAAGTTTGAAGCTTGAAAAAGTTTGAAGTTTTTGCAGTAGTAAACAAGCCTAAATATACAACAATCCCCCAAAATTAATTTCAGTGTTCGTGCTCATGACAACGGGCAATATGCCTACTCCTAACACGACTTCTCACCCGGGTAAGAAATCGTGTTGCGATTGGGTGAGAAATCGTGTCGGGTGAGAAATCGTGCCTTAACATACGGCACATCATATTTCTCTTTTTCTATGAAAGTTACATGTATTGTATCTCCTTCACATAATTTTGATAAGCGTTATTAAATAATTTAGAATTTCTTATCTGTGATCGTTGCATTGATTCAATTGTGCCTTTATTTTAACCCTTTTAACCCTATGTAACTTAAGTAGACTCTCCCGTGCATTGATCTGGATTAGTCCGTTATGGTCTACGGAGGTGAAAGGGTTAACTATATCTAGCATTACTGGTGACCAAGTAGTGAGGAAAACATGTTGAAAGAATAAATACCTGGTAACTAATTCTGAAATACAAATTCCATACAGGTTTAAACGAACTACCATTGCTCCACTTACTGAAAAACAAACTTGTCTGCGTCAAATTAATGTGATTCTGTTGGCGAAAAAGAATCAGCAGTTTTTGAAACCTACCTATTATCTGCAGTAAAACAAACACCACTGTCATCGGCATCCAAAACTGTCAATTCTTGAAAAATTGAACTCGTCTCTTAGTCTACAATGATAATGTACTTGCATATTTCTAAGTTCACTTTCTCATCAAATTAGAAGTTTATGAACTTATTTTATGAAATCATTTTAAATTCACAGATAACTGATGCGGAAAATGTTAGTGTCAATCAATGTTTATCTTATTTCCGAAATACATACGATACAACACACACGTAAACACTCTAGAATTGGCAATATTTCAGAAAGTAAATACGTTATCTAAATTGTCGATTATTCAGCAACTACACAAATATTGAAATATACATGAGTGGAAACAATAGTTTTCGTAAATGAAAAAATATCAAAAATTAGAAATGAGTGTTAAAAGGAATTCGCAAATCACAATAAAAGGATTCGGAACAGCGAGTACATAGAAAGGAAATGATTACCTGAGCGTAAAAATGCAAAAACATTTTTATCCAAAGTTTATAACAAAATGGATTCGGATTATGCAATCCGTTAATCTGAAACTGTCCCATTAGAAGAATGTTTCTAATGTCATTGTGTGTGTAATTACAGGTGACACGAAATATGCATCAGTGACCTACCGCTTGTTCAAGCTGCCAGTCAAAAGGATTGAGGATACCCAAGTGATGTATCAAGGGAACATACCCGGCTTTGAGGAAGAGTACAAGTTTGATTACAAAACTAAACTGCGGGTAAAATTAAAATTGACCTATGCTTTATTAATATTTGTATATTTGTATATATCTATTGTATATATTGATGTTACTTAATGCTGCTATTCAATTAGTAGAATGACAAATGCAGTAATATCAGGCGTATCGTTTGCTATCGCAATTAATAAAACTTCAAACACAATTCATCAGACTGCAAACAATATATTCCATTTTATATTTCAACAGACCAATGATATCAACTTGTTAGACGGAACAATTGCAACAGCCCTCAAATCATCCAGGTTTTGTGATGCGTTTGATTTTCAACCACCAACAAAGAAATCGTGTGGTACATCAACCTGTTGTGCAGACTCGCAGGTAAATTCTGAACAAAATCACATAAAAGTACAGGTATCCTCTGTTGCTATATGCTGATTTAATACAAACTACAATGACACGTTGCAGTTTGTCTTAATGTCTCATCCCAAGTAAAACATATTTACAAGACCCGGTCTCATGCTCAAACTACTGTGCTCAATACAAGTAACATTTAAAAAGTTCTTTTGTACTTGAACTCCGAATTGTGTTTCATTGAAACATCTCTAAAAGTTCGGCAAGATGTCTTCATAAAGAAAAAAGAAAGAAAAAGATTTTGTTCCGTGCATTATTTGGCTATTATATCTATTTCTGGGGAGATGCCCTTAATAATATAGTCCAATATATAGCATTGATATCTGTGTTCGGTTAAATTCTCTGGTAGTTCTGTAAACGCCCTTTTGGCATATGCGTTAGGTAACGCAGGTGTCAAGGGGATATAGTTGCGCTTATTAGCCAAAATGTAACGCAACTTCTCGGTGCAAAATAGGTAAATCATGACTATTTATATCACTTCTTTCATCTTATTGACTGTTTCATTACGATATCGTTAACTAGGATGAAGTACATTGTATAACGATAGTTCCTTGCTCGAAGTTATATGAAAGTGAAAATAGAATTTACATACTGATCATTATGATGACAAAATGAGATCTTCTCGAACAAGTTGATATTAATGACAATTAACAAATGATTTCAATTATTAGCTCACCTGGTTCGAAGGACAAAGGTGAGCTTATGCCGTACCGTGACGTCCGTTGTGAACAACTTCTTCTGTAGAACTTTGCACTGGATATTGATCATATTTGGTTGGAAGCATTCACGAGAGGCAAGGATTCCAAATTGTGCAAATGGTGGGGCTGACCCCCAGGGGAGCTTACGAGCGGGGCCAAAAAGGGCTACTTTGCTACATTGCTTTAAGCTTTTCATAGAAGGTGGGGATTCAAAATTGTACAAATAGTGGGACTGACCCCTCTGGCTAAGGGGTGGTGCCAGAAATAGTTTATTACTTGGAAATGGTTGAGATCCCCACCCTATAACCATATATACAATTGTTGAGTATAAAGAAAAGACTGCACATATGCTTCCATGATGGCCCCGGGGTCTGACTCCACCCTTGCAGACTTAACCCCTGGGTCGTTACTTAGAAACGGTTGAGATTCCCACCCCAAAACTGTTAATACCATTGTTGGGCATAAAGAGACAAATGCTGTCATGATATTAGAATTGACTCCGGGATCTGCCCCACCCGTGCAAACCTAACCCCTGGGTCATAACTTTGAAACGGTTGAGATCCCCACCCTAAAACTATATATACAAATGCTGGGCATAAAGAAACAAATGCTGTCATGATATTAGAATTGACACCGGAATCTGCCCCACCCTTGCAAACCTAACCCCTGGGTCATAACTTTGAAACGGTTGAGATCCCCACCCCAAAACTATATATACAAATGCTGGGCATAAAGAAACAAATGCTGTCATGATATTAGAATTGACACCAGAATCTGCCCCACCCTTGCAAACCTTACCCCTGGGTCATAATTTTGAAACGATTGAGATCCCCACCCCAAAACTATATATACAAATGCTGGGCATAAAGAAACAAATGTTGTCATGAGATGAGAATTGAGCCTGGGGCCTGGCCTCAACCCTAGAGACCTAGTTTCTTAGTCACAGCTTGGAAACGGTTGAGATCCCCACCCCATAGCCATACATAAACTTGCTGGGCATAAGCAATATAATACAGATATGCTACAAGGTTTGGCATTAGGGTCTGGCCCATTCCTTTCGATCTTATAAGGAGAATATTTTGCCATGATTGCTTAGATATCCAGGTGAGCGATACAGGCTCTCTGGGCCTCTTGTTACTTCATCAATTTGTATTAATATCCTATCAGGTTTCCACATTAATCAATGTCTGATAATTATAGGGCATCTCACTTCCGGTTCAGACAACCTAAAAACGATCGAAAACATCTTAATCCTATTTTTGTAATATATCGTGTAATATATTATTTTTCTCTGGCAAATAGAATATCATAATAAGCGGGTTCCACTGTACTGTTATCATTTATTTCTGACAGAATTTCGGACCTCTGCAGTGCAATGCAGGACATTGCATTTGCCAAATACATTTCAAATGTTGCATGTGGTCAGGTAATAATATGTTTTTAACAGAGGAAATATTTTGGGCAAAAATTTATTGAATTGTCGGGGGCTTGAAATCCCTGAGCACTCATCCCTTCGATGGCCGATTGGCACTCATATTACGGTACTATGCCCACTGCATCATTGAGTATCTTGACGTGTGAACTGAATGCGTTTGTAAAGATTGCGTGGCAAGGTACGTAGTCTGAATCAGTGAATAACATATTAATATGTGCCGACATAGACAGTGTGCAATATAAATGAAACTCCAGAATGATATTATGTATCACCCCTTAGCTCGTATAAAGTCAATATGTAGTCCACGTCTCTGACGCACTGTCACCTTGATGTTGAAGTCAATATATAATGTTTTGTGTTCATTCCGAGCGAAGCAAGCTTATCTGATTTTGATATTTTCATTTTTTGAGTAATGATTTTGTAACTGTTTGTGTATTACACTGCCCTTAACATATCTGTCCCCTCCCCTCTAACATGTTTATAAACTCGGTGTTGAACTGTTGGCACTTCATCAGCATCAATTAAATTGGTCAGCGAACCATGATAGAGACGTTTGTACCTGTAAGGTCAGTGGTCCGCAGTAGTAAGAGGGTACAAGTGTTAAAGTTAACGCTCTTAATCCGAGAATCTTTTTCTTGCAGGATTGATTTACAGGTAGTTTTTCTGGTAAAAATTGAAATAAATCAATACAAAATAAATTAGTAATATACTCATGATTCATTCCACTCTGGCATTTTTTTTAGAGTAAAATGCAAGTTGGGAAAGAACAAGGTGGCTAGCCAAGACAGGTACATTGTATCTAACTTAGTTTCATGCAATACTATATGGTTCAGATTACACAAGTATGCTTATACAAGTATTTGATACACAAACTGTTTGTGTATCAAATACTTGTATAAACACACATACATGCAATACGCCAGTGTGTAGTCCCATGAACAATTTAACCACAAGAGGCTTGAAAATCTGTATATAGTATAATAACACAGCATGTAACTGTCCATGGAAATTTACCTAGCAAGTCTAGTACATTTTACATGAGCTTAATTGACCCTCAACTTGGAAAATGTTGGGGACTGTGATTAATTGTTGCCTCAGCATATTGCATGATAGCACACAATACACTTGACTGACTTATTGTAGACTGGATTCCATGCTATACCCCTAGTTTACGTTAGTAAGAAAATAATATTTTGAATGTCAGAAAAAGATGAACTCAAGATAACTTTCACAAGCCTACGCTATTTTTTGCATACAAATTGATAACTGATTTGCAGTGACATTGTTGTTTTATGACACAATGTTAATTAGTCCCCACTGGTCCCCAGATGGGGATATATAAATTGTTACCATGAACATGATCATACGCAGAAGTGTATACAGACATATGACCCATGGCAAAACCCAAGTTGACCTAAAGACATTTGTGAGACACGTGCACTGCTGCTGGTCTGTAGAACATATATGTTTCACCCTCTACCAATAGGCACTAAGGATGTATTGCAACAGTCATATGATTATTCATTCGTAAGTCAACTCTTTATTCATGGCTGAAGCAGAGCCAAAATCTTCTTGAAGCAGTACTTGTTGTTGGTCCTCGGAGGGAAAATATATTTCAGACAATTGCCAACACAGACATTAGATAAGAGTAAATATTCGTTCACATCATTTTCAGCAAATTTAAATGGTGTTTATCCTGCATCTCAACTGACTATAGTGTATTTTTTTCTAAAATGTTATATATATAACCACGGAATTAGATATGAGGGAAAGGCATCTGCCTCTCCGGCATAGGAAATATGTGCCGTGCACTTTGATGTTGCGAGAAACTGCAAGAAAGCGTGAGAATTTACGCGATTTGGAGAAAAAAACAGCCGCTTCAATCATCGAAGAAATTGATTGCCGTTCAGAAGTGATACATTTTGGGCTATCTGTACCGTTACATTGTCCGGATTTCAAAGTAAGTGATCTTTGCTATACTTCTGTTTAAATTTAATAATGTTTGTTGTGTCGAATATCAGAGAAATGTCGCAGAATGCGAAAGTTTATAGTAAACATACAGCGTTGCCAACTTGAATTATTTAATGGCTTCACACCCGCCATCGAGATCTACTTATCTTGTTAATAAATAGATTATTTTGACATACGGACTAAACCAAATTGTTCATTTATATGTTTTCTATTGCAACCTGTGGTTATAAGTGAACCCATATATCTGATTTTTTAGTATTTGTATTCTGAAAACAGTTGTTAATCAGTGTGTTTTTAATAATGGCCGCCATTTTGCCTTAGATTACTGATCGCGGGTGGGTTCATGAATGTATGTAATTCTCGGTAATTGATCATAAATTTGTAATGATTTGTTTACATAATTACAATCTGGTATATTATCATGTACACAAAACGATTTCAATCGCACTGACGATCTAGAAAGTGTATTTGTAAGGCTCTGAATATAGACCAAAATTCATCTTGATGCAATAGCGTGTGATTTCACTTCCTTCATCGTCTTGCATTTACCCGCCATCGAGATCTACTTATCTTGCTAATAAATAGATTTTTTTGACATACGGACTAAACTGAATTGTTCATTCATATGTTTTCTATTGCAACCTGTGGTTATAAGTGAACCCATATCTCTGATTTTGTAGTAATTGTGTTCTGAAAACGGTTGTTAATCCGTGTGTTTTTAATAATGGCCGCCATATGCATATGCAGGAATGCCTAAAATCAAAGGCCTATCTGCTTGTTGACAAATCCCTATTATTCTCAACGATTAATTGTATATTTTGATTATTTTTTTCAAATTGTTGAATAACAAGGCCAGTGTTAAATTGTTTTCATAGTTTCCTTCGTAATGATTCACTAGGCTAGGGATATATCCGCTGGAAAATATATTTTAATATATAAAGAATTCTCTATTAACATGTACTTGCAGCCAAAATTGTATCGCGAAAGTGTTGGTGAAGGGATATTAAAAGTTATATGGCTAGGCTTATTGAGTTAATTAATTTAAGCTGAAGCTTTTTCAAAAGTCGCAGATAAAATAACACAGGTCCAATCTTGCAGTCTCTATGATTAAAAGACAGATTTAGAGATCAATTGGTCAATTCCGTGACTTAAAATGTATACCTATACATATCCTATGCCATGGATTTTTAATGTAAGATAATTATATAATCTTGTGTCACCACACAAAATAAATTGTAGTTCTGTCTAAAATTATGCATGGAAAATGAAATAGTAACAGTGATGAATGTGAACAATTGTTCTTAGTAAGAAGTATGACAGACAACTGTAATATCCATTCTTTGACTTAATTTGCAAACAATACAGATAGTTTCCAATTTTGAAAGGTGTCCATGCAGATACACATGTACACAGGGGTGATAATGAGGCTGATTGACAACTAGTCTTTACATGGTTCATCCCACTTCCACACAGGGGTGGACATTTTCAAATCAAAATGTACCAGCCGATTGGCAGATATTGAACAGGACAGCTGTGGTTTGATTCCCAAACTTGACATGGATTTTGTCCATCTGACTTGATTGATGTATCTTTTCTAATTTCAGCATACCAGAGAAGAAAAAAGGGACCAGACTGTCAAAACCTTAACACAAATCAACAGCAGAAGATTGTTTAATCAAATGTATGCAAATTAATTTGCTTCAAAGCCTTACAAGTTTAATACAAAATTCCACACCAGAAGAATTAATTTTTAAATCAAATAATCAGTTCATTTTTATCAGAGTTAACATTTGATTATAATACAATTTGTATATCACCACTCAAGCTTGTTACATATATGTCACCTGTGAGTAATAAAAAAACAGTTATATTTTCATTTTCAAGTTTTTATTCAGTTGTAAACACACAATAAGTACAATGTTCATCTAATGCGTGCATGGAAAGTCATGAAAAAACATCCAGTCACTTACTTCAGGGCTTTAAGTTGATCCTCGATAAGTTTTTTTGGTCTCTCCAAAATAACATCTTTTAAATCTTTGATTAATTTGAATGAATATGTCAATATGATGTGATTTTGACCCTCCAAACATGAAGGAAAATGTCATTTGACTTATGAAATGGTTCAACTTAGCCCTGTTCATTGTATGTATAACAAACAAAATCAAGCATATGGACTTTATTATTAGACATAGGACAATAAACTCTCATCTTCTGTGAAAATATTATATGTGCTTGTCTATTTTCCCAAAGAATATATAACTTTGTTAACACAAATGAAATAATTAATTAGTTAAAGTGCATCTCTTTATTTTGTGAACCTACAGCAAAAGCATATGTTGCAGGCTCTTGGTTCTGTCTAAGTGTGATTTATATGAAACATGTTCCAACTTTCTCACATAAATAGTAATGATACTATTGAGTAACAAAACTGACAACACATCAATTTTGAAAGATAATAATCAATTGCATATATGTGAACCACAACCTTTAATCTGTATACAAGTGTACACTGTGTTTTAAGCTCAGGACTTATTCGAACTGGATGTTGCTTCTTTAATAATTGTTCTCTTTCTAACACAGCTGACACATCTTAATCAGTTAAAGAAAAAATGTCTTGAAAAACACAAAAATAAAAAGTTGACAAACAAGAGTTCTTTGGAGTCAAGTCACAAAAAGCTTAAGCACTTCTTTCAAAGAAGTTGAATATCATCAATCTTTTAGGAATATATTAATGATTTAAGTGATGGTGAAAATTGTTGCTGACAGCATAATAGCTTTAACGGGTGGGCTTGGTACCTGTAGAACAACAGATCTGAGCTAGTGGTGCTGTCAACAGGAACACTGTTGCTGGAGCTATCCCTGGAACAGCAAGTTTCATTTTGGTTAGCTAAAAAAGATGGAATTCAAATTTCAATCATACTGGTGCCTAATTATTAGAATACCTTTGACTTGCTATATAGTTTCTGGAACCAGAAAAATGATACTACAATGTGTAATATTTTGGTTACAGCAAAGACATTAAATATCAAATAGACATGTCCTTTCGCAGAATCAACGCTCATTTTATGGAGTCAATCATTTCTCAATAGTCATTAAATATTGACAAAATGCTGAATTGAAACATGATTAAATGAAATACAAAATTTCAATGAACTATTTTGTCCATTTTTGGTAAAGTCTGGTTTAGACAAACGATTTTATTTTAAGCCTGGTTCATAGTGCTGGGACAGAAGTTTATGTCACATTTTTTTAACGCAGAATACATAAAGAAAAAAAAGGAGTTGCGAAAATGCACCAGGTGGAGTAATTGCGAATAAGTTGCACCAAAATATGTATATGATATACATATACTTGCTAATGATTGACATCTAATGAAATGAATTCATTAAAATTAGCTCCGGGCTGTCAAGTAACTTGCTATGATGTTATCAGATTTAACTAAAATCATGTCACAGAAATCAAGAATATATTTCTGTATAAACAATATCAATGACGACAAAGGATATACATGTACGTGGAGCCAAGATGAATGAATTCAGGTTTAAAAATATCTTTGATTGTTGCCTAGAAATATAAATTTATAAAAGTATTCTATTGTTTAGGTACATATATTGAATGACCTATCTCAAAATTTCGAGAATAACATACAAAGGTAAAAGGTCAGCTGATGTTTCTGTATTTTTCTTATAAATTGTTTAAATCTAAAATAATGTAATAGGTCAAAGTTATTGTTAAAAGTTAACCCTTTAAGTCACTTTCTCCCACAGGGGTTTCGTTACAAAATACACATAACGTTATGCCATACTGATATAGGTCACAGTCCACATTAACACATGTGCTGTGACCTATATCAGTATAGCACATGTACATGTGCATTAGACATTTGTAACGAAACTCTGTGCTTCTACCGTGCTGTGTATGCCCTCGAATAAATAGTCTTATATCACCTCCGAAATATTAAGTTTTAAATTCATTATCAGTAAATTCTTTCATTAAAAAGTCTAAGTTTAAGTAACTATCACGGGATAAAAAGTCAGTCATATTTGATACTGATGTATCATCCGATCAGATTCTTACCTGATGCGACATCATCACGCATTTGATTTCTTAAGTTTTAGCCTCGATGATTGCACTGTGATATTAATCTGTCAAATGTGTGTAACACTATCGGTCTGTCGTCACCCAAGTAAACAACGTGGTTATCGGAAACTGGTCTGTGAAATAGCACGCAAGCGCAGTACAGGTTAATTGGCTCCAGCGAGAGGGTCACAGGCCGTCACGGTTCGGTGCACAAACACAAGAGGTGGACAAAACATACGCGAGATGAAATTGAAGTTGCCAATCCATGTTATCTAAGTCCGTTATATAACTATGGAAATATTGCGACATCAAGAAAGCATGTGTCTGGAGTACATTCAGTACTTTGATTATATTACTGTGTGTAACACTTTACTTGCAAAATATATATCGAGGAATAAGTCGTCCCCCTTTTGAGGACTAATATGCCGTCAAATTTGTCTGATATATTTCTGACTGTAAAATATTTATGTATTTTGAATTGTTAAAAATAATTTGGAGTAAAACACTATTACTTATAAACAGGTATGCATTCGTGTATTATAAGTCGTCACCAATTAAATATCAAATCCATTTCGCATGTTTTATATCCTTTTGTAAATGTCTAGTGATATCCCTTTATATGGAGAAAAAATTAAGAAGTGAGATACTCTTGTTGCATACATCCTCAATCCTGATATTAACGTATGGTCACTGTCTTCATATTCGCTGATTGATTGTAAGGTCGGTCACGAAAATTTACTTTTTTTCCTGTATGATCGTGGGAGATGATGTATCTAAGATGTAAACGCGGCGCCTGCAAATCATAGTGTTTCGTTTTTTGTGTGTCCTTTACTTAAGGCACACTGACGAAACAATAAAAGAAATATCATTGTATCTTTTCTAAACTTTTCTACAAACTATTTGTTTTCAGCTCGAAGACCCGTTTGTATACTTGGAACAGAGAAAGAAGAAGAGAGAAGTTGTGATCCCGATAGTGTGTCCAGCAAGACCATGATGTTAGAGTCGGATCAACGTTAACGTGTTGATGAAATCCCGGTGCTTTTTAACATAGCCAGAATTGGAGATACATTTTCTCAGACAATGTGCAGAATGATTAAATACCGCTATTCATTTGGTACTGTCTTCAACGTTTTATGAAAAAAATCAAATTATTGAAAATCATTTATGTGATACATGTCTTTTGAAGTGACTGAAATATTGAAAACATGTCAAAAATATTTTTGTGATAATTCATCGCCTACTGTACTGATTTAACATTAACTACTCATAAAATCTTTTATCACTATCTTAAATATTTCTGGTGACCAAGACGAAAGGAAGGAACCCAATATCTTTCTATGATGTAAAAACGAATATAATAAAGAATCATTCACAAACTGTTCTTTACAATATCTGTTCTATCAGCTGAAAGAGAAAATGATTAGAACACAAAAACTATAGCCTTTATAGTGGAGCAATAGACAATACATTGCCTTTATCGGGATTGTCGAAAGCGTAAATAGATAAAAACAAAAGTAAAAATCATTATTGGTCAACTGCACATATATTTTATGTCTAATACAGCATAAGAATAACATAAAAATTTTGCTTCCACATTGATATAATGTAGTTTCAGACAGGGAATGCAATCATATATAAACTTGTATCACAACCATGTAAACAGATAATATCACAAGACAGTGCACGTGTCATATTCCAGATCACACTGTACATTAATGTAATACGCTGTTCTTGTATATACATGTATTGTATGACATTGTTTCATCATCATCATCATCATCATCATCATCATCATCATCATCATCATCATCATCATCATCATCATCATCATCTACCTGGACAAGAATTATCTCCGTGTGGGGATAGTGTAATGATGTACTATCATAATGTAGGTGTATAACATTGTGTAATGCTGTACTATTATACTGTACATGTATAATACTGTGTAATGCTGTACTATCATACTGTACATGTATAACATTGTGTAATGATGTCCTATTATACTGTACATGTATTACATTTTTTCATTATGTACTATTCTACTGTACATGTATAACATGGTGTAATGCTGTACTATTAAACTGTAAATATATAACATTGTGTAATGATTTACTATCATACTGTACATGCATAACATTGTGTAATGATGTGCTATCATTCTGTACATGTATAACATTGCGTAATGATTTACTATCATACTGTACATGTCTCACATTGTGTAATGCTGTACTTTCATACTGTACATGTATAAGGTTGTGTAATGCTGTACTATCATCCTGTAGATGTATAACATTGCGTAATGATTTACTATCATACTGTACATGAATACCATTGCGTAATGCTGTACTATCATAATGTAAATGTATAACATTGTAATGATGTACTATCATTACACAATGTTATACACGTACAGTATGATAGTACAGGATTACTCAATGTTATACATGTACAGAATGATAGGACAGCATTACACAGTATTATACATGCACAGTATAATAGTACAGCATTCCCCAACGTTATACATGTACAGTATGACAGTACATCATTACACAATGTGATACATGTCCCGTATGATAGTACAGTATTACAAAATGTTATACATGTACAGAATGATAGTACATCATTACACTATCCCCCCACGGAGATAATTCTTGTCCAGGGAGATGGTGATGATGATGATGATGATTTTGATGATCATGATGATGATGATGATGATTTTGATGATCATGATGATGATGATGATGATTATTGTGTGAAACGTATATACATGTATTGTATGACATTGTTTCATCATCATCATCATCATGATCATCAAAATCATCATCATCATCATCATCTACCTGGACGAGAATTATCTCCGTGTGGGGATAGTTTAATGATGTACTATCATAATGTAGGTGTATAACATTGTGTCATGATGTACTATCATACTGCACATGTATAACATTGTGTACTGCTGTACTATCATACTGTTGATGTATAACATTGTGTAACGCTGTACTATTATACTGTACAGATGTATAACATTGTGTAACGATTTACCATCATACTGTACATGTATAAGGTTGTGTAATGCTGTACTTTTATACTGTACATGTATAACATTTTGTAATGATGTACTATTATAATGTACATGTATAACATTGTATAATGCTGTACTATCATACAGAACATGTATAAAATTGTGTAATGCTGTACAATCATACTGTACATGTATAGCATTGTGGAAGGAGGTACTATCATACTGTACATTTATAACATTGTGTAATGCTATACTATCATACTGTACATGGATAACATTGTGTAATGATGTTCTATCATACTGTACATGAATACCATTGCGTAATGCTGTACTATCATAATGTAAATGTATAACATTGTGTAATTCTGTATTATCATACTGTAGATGTATAGCATTGTGTAATGCTGTACTTTCATACTGTACATGTATAATTAACACATCTGCTGTGACCTATATCAGTATGGCATATCGTTATGAAATATTTAAGATAGTGATAACAGATTTTATGAGTAGTTAATGTTAAATCAGTACAGTAGGCGATGAATACACAATATTATACATGTACAGTATAATTGTACATCATTACACAATGTGATACATGTACCGTACGATAGTACAGCATTACACAATGTGATACATGTACCGTACGATAGTACAGCATTACACAGTATTATACATGCACAGTATAATAGTACAGCATTCCACAATTTTATACATGTACAGTATGAAAGTACAGCATTACACAATGGTATACATGTACAGTATGATGGTACAGCATTACACAATGTCATACATGTACAATATGATAGTACAGCATTACTCAATGTTATACATGTACAGCATAATTGTACAGCATTACACAATTTTATACATGTTCTGTATGATAGTAAATCATTACACAATGTTGTACATCTACAGTATGATAGTACAGCAGTACACAATGTTATACATGTTCTGTATGATAGTACAGCATTATACAATGTTATACATGTACAGAATGATAGGACAGCATTACACAGTATTATACAAGTACAGTATAATAGTACAGCATTACACAGTATCATACATGTACAGTATAATAGTACATCATGACAAAATGTTATACATGTACAGAATGATAGTACATCATTACACTATCCTCACACGGAGATAATTCTTGTCCAGGTAGATTGTACAGTATGATAGTACAATATTACACAATGTTATACATCTGTACAGTATAATAGTACATCATGACAATGTTATACATGTACATTATAATAGTACAGCATTACACAGCATTATACATGTACAGTATGACAGTACATCATTACACAATGGAAGACAATGGCAAACCAATCATAGTCTGTTCCATACTTACCCCACAGGTAACTTACCTGTGTGAAAGCTACATGTCACACAGGTAAGTTACCTGTGGGGTAAGTATGGAACAGACTATGATTGGTTTGCCATTGTCTTCCATTGTGTAATGATGTACTGTCATACTGTACATGTATAAGGTTGTGTAATGCTGTACTTTCATACTGTACATGTATAAAATTGTGTAATGCTGTACAATTATGCTGTACATGTATAACATTGCGTAATGCTGTACTATCATACTATACATGTATAACATTGTGTGATGCTGTACTATCATACGGTAAATGTATCACATTGTGTAATGCTGTACAATCATACTGTACATGTATTACATTTTTTCATTATGTACTATTCTACTGTACATGTATAACATTGTGTAATGCTGTACTATCATACTGTACATGTATAACGTTGTGTAATGCTGTACTATTATACTGTACATGGATAATATTGTGTAATGATGTACTATCATACTGTACAAGTATAACATTGTGTAATGCTGTTCTATCATACTGTACATGTATAACATTGTGTAATATTGTACTATCATACTGTACATGTATAACATTGTGTCATGATGTACTATTATAATGTACATGTATAACATTGTGTAATGATGTACAATTATACTGTACATGTATAACATTGTGTAATGAGGAACTATTATATTGTACATGTATAACATTGTGTAATGCTGTACCATCATACTGTACATGTATTACATTGTGTCATTATGTACTATTCTACTGTACATGTATAACATTGTGTGATGCTGTACTATCATACTGTACATGTATAACATTTTGTAATGCTGTACAATCATACTGTACATGTATAACATTGTGTAATGCTGCGTTATCATACTGTTTAGAATTGTACCCGGACCCCGGCCTCCTTGGTGAAATGCGAATGCGTTATCCACTGCACAACCCGATCCTATCCAATAAATGTACATGTATAACATTGTGTAATGATGTACAATTATACTGTACATGTATAACATTGTGTAATGAGGAACTATTATATTGTACATGTATAACATTGTGTAATGCTGTACAGTAGAATAGTACATAATGAAAAAATGTAATACATGTACAGTATGATTGTGCAGCATTACACAATGTTATACATGTACAGTATGATTGTACAGCATTACACAATTTTATACATGTACAGTATGATAGTACATCATTACACAATGTTATACATGTACTGTATGATAGTACATAATTACACAATGTTATACATGTACAGTATAATTGTACATCATTACACAATGTTATACATGTACATTTATTGGATAGGATCGGGTTGTGCAGTGGATAACGCATTCGCATTTCACCAAGGAGGCCGGGGTCCGGGTACAATTCTAAACAGTATGATAATGTAGCATTACACAATGTTATACATGTACAGTATCATAGTACATCATTACACAATGTTATACATGTACATTATAATAGTACATCATTACACCTTGTTGTACATGTACATTATAATAGTACATCATTACACCTTGTTATACATGTACATTATAATAGTACATCATTACACAATGTGTAATGATGTACTATTATAATGTACATGTATAACAAGGTGTAATGATGTACTATTATACTGTACATGTATAATCTTGTGTAATGCTGTACTATCATACTGTACATTTATAACATTGTGTAATGCTGTACAATCATACTGTACATGTATTACATTGTGTCATTATGTACTATTCTACTGTACATGTATAACATTGTGTAATGCTGCACAATCATACTGTACATGTATTACATTTTTTCATTATGTACTATTCTACTGTACATGTATAACATTGTGTGATGCTGTACTATCATACTGTACATGTATAACATTTTGTCATGATGTACTATTATACTGTACATGTTTAATCTTGTGTAATACTGTTCTATCATCCTGTACATGTATAACATTGTGTCATGATGTACTATTATAATGTACATGTATAACATTGTGTAATGATGTACAATTATACTGTACATGTATAACATTGTGTAATTATGTACTATCATACAGTACATGTATAACATTGTGTAATGATGTACTATGATACTGTACATGTATAACATTGTGTAATGCTGCATTATCATTACTATCATACTGTACATGTATAACATTTTGTAATGATGTACTATCATACTGTACATGTATCACATTGTGTAATGCTGTACTATCATACTGTACATGTATAACATTGTGTAATGCTGCATTATCATACTGTTTAGAATTGTACCCGGACCCCGGCCTCCTTGGTGAAATGCGAATGCGTTATCCACTGCACAACCCGATCCTATCCAATAAATTAAGGCGTTAAGTCAGTTGAAGACATATGATCGTCTGGCGATGATCTTATTCGAGACCATTTTGTTTTACAAAAACCAAGCTTGTCAGTTACGACCGAATAAAGCAATAAAATCGGCACCCCTCATTTGGTGTCAGGTGTTTGGATTTGCTTTCACTGGATTTTTTCCCTTTTTTCCTAAGGCTCAAAGATTGGTAGGCTGTCACTACAGTGTATATTTACTATGTGT